TATATGGGGAGGAGGGAGATAGATGTTCGGATCAGCTCCCTCTCCCTCTCCCTCCCTCTCTCCCTCCCTCTCTCCCTCTCTCTCCCTCTCTCTCCCTCTCTCTCCCTCTCTCTCCCTCTCTCTCCCTCTCTCTCCCTCTCTCCCTTACAGTATCCCGATCATTTTTATCTCATTTTAAAAAAAGCCGTTCAACGGTCTACAGTATCACACCCACAGCGGACAGCGATACAGGAAACCGCCACCCAGAACGAATTGCCGGTGATCATTTATGAGGTACGGTACTGTACTGTACTGTACCGTAAAGTACCGTACGGTACTGCACCGCACCTATTCACTCGCTGCTTCGGCGGGAACCCATACTCGTAGACCAACTCATCTGCCATCGTTGCCCCCAATCCCAAACCCCCAAAAGCGAGAGCGAGAAAAGCACCGGAGATATGATACATGCTACGAGTACAGTATTCGTCCAGTACACACACTGCACACCCATTGCAATCTCAGGAATGACGGGCTGGGGAACTGTGCTGCACCCGTCGTGTATAAGCAGCCCCAAGCAGCTACAGCCTACAGTGCCGTACCGCACAAGTACCATAACCCGGTAGATGCGAAGCAGGCAAGCTTTTCTCCCCCCACCACCACCACCACCACCATTCCTGCCGCGCACCTGATTCAATATTAAAACACCGGTACCCTACATTTTCCTAGTTATTTTAAAACATAAACAACGCGCAGACAGCGCACGAAGGGACGGATAGAAGCATAAATCAAGGAGCAAAGAAGGAAGGAAGGAAAAAAAAAAAAAAACACAAGACCGAACCATTCGTAGATCTTCCCCCACCCCAGCCCACTTTTGTTCAATTGGTGAATGATGAGTTGCGGTATGATGCCTTAGACATAATGCACACAGAATTCAAAACGCTGTATAGAGTTAGTTACGGCAGCGACAACAACACCCTTGGAAGCCTCTCTACTTACCGGCCGTGGCGAACCACTTCACTGCCCTCTACCCCCACCACCATCATGATAATGTACCAAGTATTTCAACTGGGGGAAGCCAAAGCCACCCCCGAAGTGTGATACTTGTATCATAACTCTTTCTCTCTTTCTTTCTTTCTTTCCTCCCTCCCTCCCGCCCCGGCGGGCCGGCCGACCGGCCGAAAGATAAACAACCAAGGTATCGTACCATAGAAAAAGAGAGATAGACAAGATAACCCACCCACCAACCCCCCCCCCCAAAAAAAAAAAAAGAATTAACCCGGTAAACCCAACCCAAAGCACTGTAACGCAAACAACTTCATTTCCCTCAATTTAAGAGAGAAAAACTATCGAACCCAAAAGCCCACAACAGTTTACCGTACATATGTAAAAATAGATAATCTCCGGCTATGATACAGGTAGACAACCTCCACGGCGAATCACTCGCTTGGGGCGCGCCTTGTGGTGTGGGTTGGCACCCGACCCAACCCAGCGACGGAGAGGCTGCGGTGGTCAAGCTAGCGAACCACCAAAGCCCCACGGGGGAAAACGGTTGGCTTATCTCGCCCTCTCAATAATTGTCGGAATGCTTGGCGTGCATGTTTGATTCCATACGGCACTGAAGGAGCACCCTATGCGCGCTCCTTCGCTGGTGGGGAAGATGGAGGAGGAGGGGGCGGCCCGGTGCAGTTGCACAGGATACTGTACCGCTGTAAGGTTAGAGTCAGTGCTTGTGTTACGCGAGTGGGGTGCTTTCGGCCATATACCGGTACAGGGCTTGAAGGCTCTGGGTTGGAAGCGAGTGATATTTGATGTGTGGACGAGTGTCGCTGGGAGAGAGAGGGGGCGATCATCCTCTATTTATATCATGCCCCAACGGTGATCCACGACCTTTCGGGAGGATCCAATCTTCCCGCCTTCCACACCTAGTAAACCCCCATATGTTCACCCCTACAAGCTGTGTAGAAACACTGTACAACTTGGGGATGAGGAATTTTCTCGGTCTCAATGAAAAAAGGAAGGAAAAAAGAAAAAAGGAGAGTTTGTTCGATCCACACAAACAATATCCCAAAAGGCATGCCATACCGAATTACCAACCTATCCAGTCCCCAGAGAAACAAAAGCCCCAATACAGTACAATACAATGCAATAGACAAAAAAAAATCACTATGATACCAAGCCACACAGAAGAAAGACCAATCATCAGGGTACGATAGAACGCTAAAGATTCACCGGATACCAGTGCCCACGCACCAAGTTAATAAGGTACCCCAATATGATACGATCCGTACCGGACCTCCCCAATATATATACCATCCACAAATGGCCTTAAGTCCATGTTGACCTCCTTGCCCCCCCCACAGTCTCACCCGGAACGAACATGACTTACCACCAAGAATCACCGCCGGAAGGCTCACATGCCTCCACGCTGTGATGATACAACGACGATAGGGGCGTGACGGAGGGGGTTCCAAGTTACGCTGCGATCGTAGGACAGGCAGATACAACGACCTGTCCGGATACGGGGCACCCACGGTCCCCGCTGGTTGGTTTGTGGGCTGGGATTACTGGGAATTGAGGGATCGGCAGCTAGTGTTCGCTTGTATTTGGTTGTTCCGCCATTGTACCCGTAGCTTGCAATAAAATCTCCGGCTTCGGAGTCGGCCCTCAGGGGTTATATATAAACACATGTGTGCAGTGTCGGGTCATGCTTGCTCACTCGCTTGTGAGGGTCTGGGGTTGAGTCCACGTCGGGGAACATCGAATGTCCCCAGCACAGATCACAGCCCTTAAAAACTACCGCACCATTTCATCCAATCATCCATCACAAGCCTACCTATGCTGGCCCCTTTGTATCATAGGTATTATACTCAATCTCAAAGCACGAAAGCACGTTTGGAGTAAAAGTTAGCTAGAATTAAGCTAAAAACCTTTCCCATCCATCCATTCACTGTCTCGCCACCCTTGTAAATGTGAAAAGTACACCCCGCCAGCGCCTCTAATATACACCTGAAATTTTGGATGAAAAATATGAAAATAAGGTAAAGCATGAAGAATAGTTGAGCTAAAAAGAGAGAGAAGGGGAAGAAGAAAAAGGTCATTGGTGTACAGTGGTATTGTGGGATCGTAAAAAAGTGAAGCGATATCCTCCTTCCCCCGGGTAAAGCGCAAGGTGCAAGGATGGAAAATGAAAAAATGAAAGAGAGACTAATAGAGCAGGTAAGAAATAAGCAAGAAACAGTGCAAAGGTATGAATGTAACAGCGCTCTCAGAAGCCCAATGGGATCCGGAATGATCAAAGAGACCCACAATGGGAAATTCACACCCGCCCCTCAACCTCCTCCCCCGTGTTAGCCTCCATATTCACAGCCGAAGCCGGAACGCCGCCGACAGCATCCGTCTCGTTATCGGCCGCCGTCTCCCAATCATCCACAACATCAACTTCCTTCTCCTTCTTTTTCTCCTTCATCTTAAGGCTCTCCGCACTCTTACGTGCCAACTCGGCCTTTCCGTGCTCTAAGTCGAACCTGCTCTTCGTCCCAATACTCGCCTGAATAGGGAGCTTTGCCCCAGCAGAGGATGATTTTCCGACGACGAGAGACCACTTGGGCTGACTCTCTCTATTGACTATCTGCCCTTCTTTTCCGACCAGGCATAGTTCAACTTTATCTGCCAAGCCGTTCTTGGCAATAAGACGCTTGAGTTGGGGAATCAGGACGTCGGCGAGTTCGACTTCGATTTGGTCTTTGCCTAACGAGCTGGCCTTGGGGACAAGCAAGACGTCGTCGCCACCGGACCAGTGAAGGTTAAAGCGGAGTTGAGTGTCCCCAAGGACTGGCTCTAACTCTCTTTCAACTTCGGAATCCAAAAGCCCGATTTTGATACTCTGTAAGATGATAGCATTGTAGGGCTGTCGTTGGGGTTTTTTAAGCTGCTGAATAGAGACTGGGGTGCTAGTCGGGACAGAATTTGGCTTCGAGGCGATGTATTCTGCAATAGTCTTCTTTGGGGGTGCACCGTTATTGGATCCTCTGAAAAGAGTGACACTCCTGTAGGGCTCAGGATCCCGCGACTCACTCTGGAATCCGTAATCCTCTGCAAGGGAGTGCAAGAAAGCACGTTGGCCACTCTTCATTGGGCCGAAAATGTACCGCTTCTGGTCTGACTCAGCAAAACCCCTAAACTTCTCCTCGATAAGAGCCGACCACTTCCTGTCTTTGGCATAGTGAAAGAGAGTTCCTTCAGAGTAAGAAGGGATAGGTTCGCGATCTGGGTCGAGTCCGAAAGCAAGTGCCATACGTCGGCCGCGGCATTGGCCATTACACTTCAGCTCTTTCTTATTCCCAGTAGGGTTAGTTTTGGTAGAACAGCATCTAGTCTCTTGCTTCAACCCCCCGCAGGCGCAAGCGAGCTGAATCGTGGTAGAGCATGGCTTGTCCTCCGGGCATTGGAATGGCGCGTGACACGCTTCCAAGCAGGGATGCCCACAAGATTTGGCCTTTCCACACTGTTGCGTACAAGACTCATCGCAGCCTCCACTGGGATGACAAACCTTATGGCAATTGTGAGAGCCACAGGAAAGCTTCTTGCCGCATTCAATTCCACAAGAAACAGTATTCTTGAAGCAAGGAACATTCTTGACCCCTTTCTTGCCGCAGAGACATGTCTTCTCCACAAGGTAGGGACAATTCGGGCATTTAACTTCGTCCGTATGACATGAGTGAGGAACTTTAGGATGACCGCAGCCTATATCCCGGGTGCATGGAAATTCGCACTTGGGCGGTATTGCGCCGCAAGCAACCGGAGGTGACAAAACAGTTCTTCCACAATTACAGCCTAGCTCATCAAAGCTAGCTTCCAAGCATGTACCGCATGGCCCACGATGGCAGAGCATCTGGCAGCTGTGGGTTCCGCACTTCAACAGCCGACCGCATGGCCGCGTGCAGATATGCTCCGATTCGAATCCATCACTGTTGGACTGGGCCGGGTTATATGGCTTCATCTTCCTTCTTGAACCCAGCCGGTCATGAGCCTTTCCTTCTCCAGAGCAACACCGTTCTGTGCACTCATGCCTGCCACAGTTCAAGAGCGTTTTACAGGCCCTCATGCACTGAGGAGGCTCGCCTGGTTCTCCTTGGTGGCACAGGCTCTCTGAAACGGTCTTACCACAGACGCATTTGATATCGACTATCTTCATACAAACAGGACATTCGCCTTCGTGGCAGGTTTTGTCACACCTATGACCGCACCTAAGAGTCTTGCCACATGTCTTGTCGCATAGCGGGATATCTGCCTCGCAATTGGCCCTAGGCGACTCAAGAATCTCACTGATCTTGGTCCTACCACATGGGCAATGAGTGACAAGGTCTGGTGAGCGAGGGCAGCGGGCGGGGTGCGCATCCTGAGGATGGCAAGGCTTTTGACAAGTATGTTTTGCGCAGTCAAAATACCTATTTCCCTTCATCAGCACGCTGTAAGGGTTAATAGCATCAAGAAAACGAAGTACAAACCTGTTGCATAGCGAATGGCAATCCCAGTAGCCTGACCAATTTTCGACACCGTGGATATCGCTGATCGTGCTCTCGACTGGCTCCTTCTTGTCACTACACTTGACTTCCTTGGTATTATTTCCACAAAAGCACTTAAGCACCTCCGGTATTTGGCAATCGCCACAAACCCCAGGGTGGCATGGTTTTGGACATGGATGCTTGCCGCATGGCAAGCTGTCCCCGCAGGTATGCCCGCAGCTCCAACCGCCCTCATACACTGTGTCAATGCAGCGCTTCTGTATTTCGTCCTTGCCGCAATGGCAGAGTTGCCGAGGCCCCATTGCAGAACAAGGAGGGCAGGGTCCAGCATGACATTGAAGATCACAAGCGTGGGGACAGTCCTTGGGCAAACCCCGCTTCCTCCCACACGTTTGACCGCAACTATGAGACCGGAGTTAGTGATTGAACCGGTGTTACATGGAATGGTAACACATACCTATGAGGGGGGAGAAAGTTGGTAGCCTCTGGTTGGACCTCTTTCTCGCACCAACAAGAATAGGTAGCCGGGACTATTTTCTCATGATTGTTGCAAGCCGGGCATCTCCATGTCGGCGAAAAGTCGGCGCCAATTGGTCCGGCTGGAGTCTGCTCCAGGCCTTGTTTTGCCCACTTTTGGATACAATTCAAGTGGAATACTGCCCAACAGCACTTACAATTCCAGACTTTTACCTTTCTGGTTAAATTGCTGAAACATACAGGGCACTCGTAGGAGCCACTGGCGATCTCCCTATGAGTCCTGGTGCTAATGTTCTCGGGGCCTTTGTATTCGTTGGTTTGAGGTCTCATGTTTACGATTCTAGGAGATGGCTTACCATCAGCCAGCGGAATGTGCGGGATTTGCGGTCCGCGGCGGCCGCCCCTTCCACGCCCGCGTCCCCCAGTGGGCGCAGTGCTTTTAGACCTGACGCTTGCGGCTGTGGAACCGTATAATGTTGTTGGGGGCCCCCAGTCAGAATAAAGATCCCTGCTGTCTACATTACTGGGGACGCCGCGAAGGTGTGGCGGAAGGTACTGATCTGTCGACTCTCCGGGCTGATACGCCGTTGCCTCCGCACGCAGTTTCCCGTTAAGCACGGAGCCCTCACCTGTTGTCAATTGCCCTCCGAATTCTTTCGGCGGCGGTACGCGAGAGAGCTTCGGAGCTGGACGGTTTTCCTCGGGTGAGCATGCAACAGTGGTATTAGATGATGTAGAGGCGGAGTTGTCGGAGTCCGCAGTGGAAGACAAATGCCCCCCGAACCGCTTGTGTGGAGGCAAACGCTGACCCCTGGGTTTATTGCTCTTTCGAGACGAGGTCCTATGGGACACCGAACCATCATCAGTAGTGCTGTTTGTCTCGCTAACGGCCCTCTCCTTCCCCTTCCCTCTCTGGGCGGTACTTTGTGATGAAGAGCTAGTGGCAGAAGGGCTATGGACAGATGACGGGGTTCCATTGGGTTCGTCTGCGCCGTATATAGCGCTAGGGGTTTCGATGGATTGATCACCACCGTACGTGCTAGGCGCCACAGAAGCCATATCGAAGTGCAATTCCTCATTTGTGGAGCCTGACGCCTGAGATCTCCCGTCAGTCTCCACTCTGTTCTTGCGATCGGCAGTCAGTTCCTGGATATCTCTGTTCGACGATAACCCGCTACCGAAACTGCCACCGCTACCACCACTGCCACCTCTACCCTTCCCATATCTCCTCCTGCGATAGCTTGCTCTTGTGGGTTGCCCTGTCGGATATTGTGGTTGGGGCTCGGCGGATACGGGAGCTTCAGGTGATTGATGTTGCTGATTTCTTCCAATACCGAAAAAAGGAACCCTACCGGCACGCCGACGAGTGGCGCCTCTCGACGGTGCAGAGGGTTCACCTGGCGGCTGTGAGGGAGTTGGCTCGACGGTAGCCATGACCGTTGGCTGAACTGTGTCTCTATCAATTGTGGCAGAACCCAAGGCTTCGTACGATATGAGATGCGGCAAGAGCCCCAGAAAGCGAAGTGAGGGGCGAAATGAGATGAGAGGTTGTAAGGAAAAAAAAAAAAGGGGGAAAGCAAACGAGAGGGGAGTGAAAGGGGAGAGGGATAAGAGCAAAGTCTAAGATGAAAGGGGAGGAAACGAGGGTGGAGGGGAAAGAACAGGATGAGGAGCGGAGGGGGGAGAAAGCTTTCGTTGCTTATGAAGGGAAGAAAGCTGTGTGCCTGAACGTCACCCAAAGTTTTTTCCCTTTTCGAGGACGCCGGTGGGGTGGCGGGGCGACGAGCATCTTGGCGACGGATGACACACTTTCCTCCACACCGCAACACCTGCGCTTATGTTCCATGAACTGCTGTCAACAAATCGGGAAAGAGTGAAAATAAAAGTAAAAAAAAAAAATCTTCTTCCTCACTATTTGGTGCATGGATGGAGTGATCCTCCGAGAACTTTAGACTCATGTCTCCGGAATTCTGGCCAGGGGTGGTGGACGCTGGTGACTAATTCCTATCCCGCCCGGGGTGCCGGCGTCGTTCGTGACTTTGCACGGTCACCTGTTTGCTACGGCAATCAGTATGATACTCGCCGAGGACCACTTGCAGCAATCCTCGTCCTGCAGCTGTGTAGGATACCGTATAGTACGGCGATCCGTGCGGACCCGGACTCCCGGAAAAAGTAAGCTGTAGAGTACGGGTAGAAGCATCAATGCAGTGCGATAGGCCACACCGGCAAGAACGTACCATACCGATGCTTGGGTGTGTCCATAGAAATCTGAAAACATAGCCCTTGTCTAGTCTACAGCCGCATTCGCAAAAGTTCTCGTATCATGCCCTTCATGGTACCCTCGCCCTTGGAAGCGCTTTGCTAACCCGCTCTTTCTCATTATTTGGCAAAAACAAATTGTGATAAAAGTTTTGAATATCCCTAGGGGTATATCTGAAAATAGTTATCTGAAGTTCTCTGCTTGCTGTCATATTGTTAGCAGGTGCAGTTCTTGGGATACAAGGAAGAGTACGAGAACTTTGCGAATGCGGCTGTACTCGAGTACATGGGGACTTGTAAGGGATCAGCGGAATATAAATCCACGAGTAGTCTTCCTGTTCTTACTGACACAACCGCAAGTCACAAAAAAAAAAAGGTAGCAGTAGACAACGGAGCCTATGGCACAGCTACTCGGGTACGGTATCATGACCTATAACGCCGGTAGTTTTCCGGCGATTGTGTCTCCGAGTCAAGAATTGGCGACCGTTTGCTCGTTCCACGGTGCTGTGTGGACCAGTGCAATAATAGTATTATAGACGATTCTTGGCGTCACTGGAGGTCCTTCAGTAACCAGACAGAGGCCAAAACGCACCAAAATTGCGGGTTTTCGAGCCATAATAACCCCACGGACATCTTGAAGCTCGGCTTTGGAAATATTTGACATGTCTGAAGTATAATATGTGTTTATTTTGGCTCTTTTTCTGCTGTTTGTAGAGAACTGCGGGCACATGAACGGGTGAGGTCTGTTGCAATGTATGAGTACCTTTTCCATACAAAACCTTTGTCTTGGCAGGTATTCCTCATGAAAATGAACATCCACACCTCGCGACTCTGGGAGAATGGAGGGGAAAAAAAATCCCACACTTTTTTATATGTGTGCTATTGTAGCAGATCACTTTTTCTATGCTGTTTCTGCTCATGGTGGTTGCGTAATAATAGCCCGAAGACCGTCACCTTTGGTGTGTTTTAGCCTCTATCAAAAATGACCTCGGTTCTCGTGAAGGCATAAGTATAGTGCAATGCGGGTAGAGTGTGCACTGGTACCTGGCTCCATGCAACATGTAACACTCAACCCTGTAAGGAAGAAGGGAAAACCCCTAAAAATAAAAAAAACACCTGTTTAAATATTAATAATATCATGAAATACTTTCAATTCATCTTTGTTCATATCCATACTTTTATATTTGTTTTTTGTCTCAAATATTCTAAAAATGGAATTTTATTTCCTGTAAAGCTCAGCTAGTTTGAATTATATAATGTCTAAGTAAATAAATATTATATTTAGTATAGGTTTGTAGATATGGATTATATGGTTGACTTTTATACTTACCCTTTGAAGTTTCCAAGTGTAAATTAGAGTCAGAAGAACTAATAAACAGGTTGGAATCCAATTTCCATTGTTCAATTCACTTTCTATAAAGCTGACTATGCAGTATAGACTTGTTTACTTGAGGTGACATTACAGGAGGATTGGATGGCTGGGTTCTATCTGTAGGAAAGTAAAATGGTTTTGATTTTCAAGTAGGGGAACAGGTACTACTGTACTAGTAGTCTGGAAGTACAGTTTTTATAACAGGAAATTATAACTTTAAATATTATAAGGAAATTATGGTATTGTACTATTGAATTTAAAAATATACAAAATTTAATAATAGTAAAAGGTAGGGAAATTAAATGCAGGATTTGTATAAGGTGTAGTTTTGAGGGGTTTAGTACCCTTCTTCCTCACAGGGCTGCCAGTGAGTGTTACATGTTGCATGGAGCCAGGTGCATACTCTAGCCGCATTGCACCATATCACAGCAGGATAAACCAGTAGACGAGTATAGTATAGCAGGCTACTGTTTGGGTTTAAGACCCTTCTCGCAAGCACCGGTACTAGACTACCGGAAATCCTAGGCTACCAAAGGGCAGCCTGCAATCCACCAAATTATTGAAATTAGTACCAGCTCCCCCATTGGCGCACAAGTCCCAAAGTTTTCGAGAAACTCCAAGTCCGGGCCAGTCCATTAACAACGAAATTTACGTTACCACATGCTAAACTTACATCGATTCCTATGCCATCCACCACTCCCTCCACTTCCTCCCACGGCTGCAAAAGAAATCGAAACGTTGGCCATCCGCGGCACCCACGACCTGTATCATACACTCAACCCGAAAGGGGGGGGGAAGAGAAAAAAAACCCGCTTCCTCCCCCTCCTACTCCCCACTATCGGAATTATTACTGTAAAACAAGATAATAACGAAGAATAAACGCCCAAACATTCTCTTTTTGTGTGGAGGAAAAATAGAGAGAAAATGATAAGTCCCTGACTGACATGAGATGAAGCACCGAGAAACAACACACAAGGGGACGGATGAGCTGATTTACACGCACGATATTCCCATAAAAACTCCAGCCCGAAGATGAAACAAGAAAAAAAGAGATTCCTCACGAGCATGGAAAAAAATAAGTATGAAAGGAGAAACGAGTGACAAGTGACTCGAACAGAAGTGGTGCGGAAAGGGAAAAACGGACTGAGACGCATGGGTCCCCAACAGACTCTGGCTCAATTGCAGAGGTGTAAGAAGTGAAAAAAAAAACTAGACAAAGGGTGATCCCTTCCACGTCGGAGTGTAGCAAACGGGCCCATCCCATCCCTTCTAATTTTCTCCCCAACACAAAAGTACTACTTTGCACCCTTTCCTCTCTTTTCTCTTTCGTGGGAATTCTAACGCTTTTCGGATTCGAGACCAAGAGCCAATTCGCTGCCTAGCTATCAGACAACACTGCTGCATTGATTGGTTAGATCCCTCACTCGCAGAAAATATAAATTTGGGGTTCCTTCAAGAGTTCCTCGCTACCAACCTCCTCTGCTTTTTCACCGGTGGTTCTCCACCTTCATTAAGCTTTCTCCTGCCTCCCCTGCCCCCACGGGGGCCTCGTCCACCCCTGTTTGGAGCCTCCTCTCCATCATCGCCACGCCTGCGTTTACCCCCAGCAGCTTTAACTGTGGAGGGCATTTCATCCCCGGAATCACCATCAACAGCAGTCCTGCGTCTGCCGCCGCCCCTACCCCTACCAGGCCTCCTCTCGCCTTCGGCCTCCTGCAAGAAGACCTGTGGCTGATATTTCCTTAGCCAGCAGTAGACGCTCATGGGATTTCGCGGGTCCCCTTCCCCCTTGCTAGCAATAGGGGAGGTGTGGGTGGTTTCCGGCAGAGCAGGTATCTCTCCATTGAGATTCTCATCGACGTTGGCATAAAAGGCCTCCTCCTCCTCAATAGACATCAAGAAGGGACTAGTATTGCGCAAGTAAGGAGGGGTAGCGCCACGACGATAAGTATTCTCCAAGACTGGAAGCTTGCGGTTATTGGGAGTATGTGGAGGGGCGGGTTCTGGAACACCTTCATGCATCTCGTCGACGGGCTCCTGCTTGAGCACAAGGGGTGCGGAACCATTGACGCCATTTGCAGCAACCTCAGCGGCAGCCTTCTTAGCTTGTTCCTCAGCCTCCTTTCTCTCTCTCTCTGCATCAGCCTTAAGCTTGTCCCGAATGTATCTTGGTGGTGTTCCGGGGATTCCACGCCTGTGGTTTGTTTCACGTATCTCTTCGAGATAAGCTTCTCGGTCATCATCATCCATATCCTCATCCTCATCATCGCTGTACTTCGCACCGTGGCGATGTATTGGTGGAGTTTCGTCGTCTTCATCATCGTCATCAGTGCTGTTGTCATCCTGCTCTTCGGCCTCTGCATCGTTACCGTTGACGGGGGCCGGGTCAAGCTGCACCGGTTCCACATAATTGTCATCAGCGAGGCCTGCAATCTCCTCATCCAATCCTCCCATTGTAGCAAGTAGCGTAGGCGAAAGGAAACGAGTCGGAGTAGCACTGGAAGGGGATCCGATGTTAAAACGACGAGATTTCGGGACATGTGAAGACGAATTCAAGTCGACCAGAAGATCTAAAAGACGCCTGTAACATGGTTTAGCCTCCGGATTATGGGAGAGCCCATACAAGCAAATAAAGGGATTTCATTGAGCGCACGTATTCTCTTCCTGTATACGCCTAATTGCAGCGGACGCGATTTGGTCCTGCTTAAAGAGCTCATCTGAGCGCCTCATGACCTGGTCGAATTTGAAGCGAAGCTTTTTATACTTCTTCCTGTTGACGATGCACCATGTTAGCGATGGCCGGAAAAATGCAAGGCGCATGCGAAACACTCGGAATAACGGACTTATATGATTTGTAGTGAGCTTTATCACCTCCGGCATTTTCGGCGGTGGACATGTTATTACGACTTGAATTTTGTGTTCGGCGGGAGTCAAGTTGTCGTTGAAATAAGGTCAGGAAGCTGCGCGGAGTGGTTGGCGAGAGGACGAAAGGAGCAGTGAAAGAGAATGTTCTTGAGGAGTGAGCGCAGCAAGTTAGAAGGGGGCAGTGATGGATGGATGGGGGGGAAAATAAAAAAGGATCGGATGTGGTGGGAAGGGGATGTGGCCTGAAACGAAAGGAAGGGGAAGGGAAGGGGAAAGGAAGCGGAAAGGAAAGGGAAGGGAAAGGGTGGAAGAAGGCAGTTGTTGGTGACGCCAGAAGTCTAGCCTCGCTCACTCTCACATCGACGGCAGTCGTTTCTATCGACACTCGGCCTCCTCCTTTGTCCTTTACGGCCAAAAGAAGGAGATTCTCTAAAATCGCGGAACGTAAAAGTAGCCAAGCCAAAAGCTCGCGTTTGTGGCTAGGGCTCAGGGACGTGGCTGGTGGACAAATTATATAATATTCTGACACTGTTTTAAGTCTCAAGGTAGGGCTAAAACCTTTGCGACTGCTACTGTCCAACAACAGCTTAGTGCCCACTCGCTTCCGATCCCCACCACTACCACCATACTGCCAGATCGACTTCGAGGATAACACCGAAATTTCGGCAGACACCAACAGCACGATCCAGCAACCCATCGCGACAACACCCTTCACCAACTCGCCAAAATGACGAAAGGAACCTCGTGAGTTTTCCAAGATCAGAGACCCAATCTCTGCGAGAGCAGAAAAGGCTAACAATTCTACAGTTCGTTCGGAAAGCGCCATGTCAGTTGACCCCCCTCATCTCCTGTCTGAGAAAATGAAAACAAGGCTACCGCTACCTCATTCTCGACCAATGGCTGCTCTAAGCAAACTTCGCTGTGGGGTTCGTGGGACTGACTTTACTCTCCGCATAGAACAAATCACACACTTTGTGCCGTCGCTGTGGTCGGCGTTCCTTCCACATCCAGAAGCACACCTGTGCATCCTGCGGATACCCCGCCGCCAAAGTTAGGAAGTGTGCGTCTTCCTCCTCTATGCTCTCCACATTTCCAGCTATCTAACGAGTACTCGTGGATGTAATACAGACAACTGGTCCGAGAAGGCAAAGAGAAGAAAGACTACCGGTACCGGCCGCATGAGATACCTCAAGACCGTCTCCCGCAGGTTTAGCAATCGATTCCAGCTCGGCACTCCCAAAGGCGCCCGTGGCCCCCAGAGCACCGCAGCGGATACAGTCGAATAAATAAAAACAGACCTCTTATTTTCCACTTTGTCGTTGCGTTTTGTCCGTTATTTTTATCCGGGTTACAGGTTCTGTGTAAAGGGATGAGTGATTTTCTCTGCGGAACGGGGTGTTAAAAAGGGAACGACATGAAATTAAAAATAAAATTGGCGCTTGTTACCACTATGAACTTGCGCACGATATGCTGGTATTCCGGGAGATGGAGAAGGTAATTTGGCTGGGGCTGAGTGGGAAGGTGAATGCGACCCTGATTGTGCGTGGGACTTGCGAGGCAGATGTCCGTGTACCGGTATAGCATTGGCGGAGAGAATTGGACCTGTCCCACCAGCGCGCAGACCCATCTACTTGACTATACGCAGATTCGCTGGCCAGAACAACATATCAGGAGCCTTAATACCACACATCGGTATCGAAATGTTCACCGCGCAATTTATTCCCCGGAGAGGTTTTGTACCCCCCGCACTCACTCTGGCCATGGCCACCCCTATTGCTTGCTTGTAAAACTGTAGAAGCCAATCGAGAACTCCAATTCAAGATATCCCTAACTAACCACACCATCCTCCTCCTCCCAAACCTCATCCATTAAAACTATACCCCCTTTCCCCACCCACCACGGCAGCTAGATGCACAAAAAAACCAATATCCCAACCCCCCTTCCCCCTCCCTCACGCGGTGCGAATAGAATCTTAATCAACATCAACCCCCTTCCCCCTCAACTCCCTCTTCGCCGTCTCAATCTCAACCACAAGCTCCTTGTACGCCCCCTCGGTATCCCGAAACGTGACAATCCCCCACCCAAGCGAGAACAGCAAGTACGAGCCAAATGAGACGAGTCCCCAGAACGGCAGCTGTGCATTCCCCTATTAGTCGCTTTCTTTCTCTCCTTCTTTCTCGCCAAACAGTACGAAAGCGGTAGGAGGGAGGCTCACGATGGGTATAATCTCCTCTTGTATCTTCTCCGGAAAGGGGATTAGACGTAGGTATGCCGCCAGGTAGAGCTGTTTATTTTTTTTGCGGGGGGGAATATAGCGTTAGTATGATATGGAATAGGGGGGGTGAAGAGAGGAGGTGCGGCTTACGGAGCTGAGGAGTAGTGCGATGGAGATGGTTTCTGTTGCGCGGGTCATTTTGGCCAAATGAGGGGATGAGTAGTAGTGGTGGTGGTGGTGGTGCAGTGGTAGTTGGAAGTGGAAGTAAGGAACGTGGCGTTGTTGATATCTGTTGTCGATGAGTATTCTGGCCTGTTGTGGTGACTCGTGAGTGGTGTTTGCGGCTTAAAATTCTGTGCAGTAAATTAGAGTACGGTACAAATTTCCGTGCAGATACTGTACTCGAGTAGGTAGGGATTGTCTTGGCAGGGATGAATGGGACAGCACGTTTTTCCTACAAGTACCAGGTACCTACCGGTAGTACAAGTACGGTAGGCTACCGAACGGTATGGGCTTCTACTCAGTACCGCATCACAAGTTTTTTTTCTTTTTTCTTTTTCCCCTTTTCTCCTGATTTCTCAGCCCTGAAGCCTGACGATTTCATACAGTGGAGTTTTCTCTGTTTTCTCTCTCTAAAATAAATAAAAAAAGGTTCATTGGCTATATATTATTGGTTTTATGATATTGCATGCCCGTTTGAATCCCAAAGAACCTCGTTGTGATAAGATTTGTAGTCAAGTGTGATCGAGTGCGCACTCTTACGCAGGCGTAGCTTCAGCCGGGGCAGTTGTGCTGCCCATTCCTAAAGGTCCGGTGCCCATGCTCGGGATGAAGAGTGGGAGGTATGCCTATCACGTTGTACAATTGCTATATTAGCCTTCCTCAGGAAATTGGGCGAGAGCGAGGAGGGGAGAGACATACAAATCCTAGTGCCATAAGACTCATTCCCACTCCAAAGTACGCCGGTTGTTTACCACCCGCGACTTGCGCGGGTGTCTCGCTGAGCCAGGCTTGTATCGCGAAGATCAGGGCAGTCCTGATGATATATTTAGTCTCATTTTCGCTTTTTCTCCTTCTCACTCCAAAGTCGGGTGGGTGGAGCGAGCAGGCTGAGGAAGGGGGAGAAGAAATTACCATCCGACAACCCTGCACAAACAAACATTTCACATCAGTCAATATGTAAGGCTGCCAATCGATATCAAGTGGGAGGGAGATGACAGAACTTGTTACGGGTAAACATCTAACCCATTCCATCCATTCCACTCTGTTAGCCAATCTGGGGCACCTCCTGACGAGAAGAGGGGAAGCTTACAGCTGCCATGGGAAGTGTGCTTGTCATGGTGGCTTTTTTTTTTTCAGGTGTCAGTACTTATGTCTTCTCTCCCTCCGTCATCCAAAACTCTGGGGAGGGAAAAGGTTAGGGATGTGCGTATCGTACCGGCAATATCGGCTGTCGCGAAAAAAACAAGTCATATGTTAGCAATCCAGGTTGTGGAGATCCGGGACAGAAGGGATGGAAGCGCACTGTCGTTGGCTTTGGCTGTCGGGGCGACGTATGGAATGACTGAATATTGTCAGTTTTCTTCCCCCATTTGTGCGCTGTGCTTTGGAGGTAGAGTGGGGGAGGGATTACTTAGATCAGCGCGTCGCTGGTCTTTGAGGTTCTTGTTCGACATTCTGGAGCTCTTGAAGGGTGTTTTTGTGTGGTGGATCAGAATATTGTACAAGTGTGGTTTCGAGGTCAGAGGCGGGCTTTTTGCGGTAAAGTGCAAGCTTGAAATCTTGGGTCATTGGGTAAATGGGAATTCAAAAGTGTCCAGTTGAGATGAGACAATGATATTGTACTCGTATAGGTAAGCAACGACTACAAATGCAGGTATGATACCGTATTCTGGAAAATCGCTTGCTCCAAAGGACAGCTTTTCCCTTTCCCATTCGTTATTTTCGGACCCCCAAGATCTTTTTTAGTCATCCGATGAGAGCAACAGCCACCGGCCGAGGGATAGGGTGGGTGACGCCAAGACATTGGGAGAAGAAGGGAAGGAAAAAAATGGTATGAGCCTCTTCGAAGTTCCCTTCACCCATGGACTTCGCCCCACAACTGCGGTTCACAGTCGCCTTTCACAATGCCCCGAAGCAAAAAGGAAAGAGAAATATCTACTCCACCACCTAACGAGGAACCTGATGCAGATGGTACCAAAATCGAAGATGCGACAGAAGAGCCCACCAGGACCCGAGAGAAGAAGTCGAAGAAGGGAAAGAATGGAAAGGCCAAGAAAGACGAAAGGCGCAAAAACGGTAAGGGTGCAGGTGCACAGCCAGAGCACAAGGCTGAGGAACCAACCACCCAGGAGACTGCCGAGGGCGACAACTCAACCCCATCCAAGAAGCGAAAACGAGATGCCGCTGTGGAGGAGATAAAAATCGATATCAATGCTCCGGAACCACCATCCAAGAAAGCTCTACGAAAACTCAAAAAGTCTGGCGCTACGTCTGCTTCCGCTGGCAGTGGTTCTACCGGCACTACCAGTGGTGCCCTTACAGCCCCGACCACTGCCCCCGCCACAGCCCCTAAATCCGAAAAGTTCCCCGAACATGCATCTCAATCTCGCTCCAGGTGGGGCGTCTGGATAGGCAACCTAGCATTTTCAGTAACGAAGCCGGACCTGGAGACCTTCTTCACCAAGCCCCCTTCGACGATCCCCCGCATCGGGATAACCCGTATCAACCTTCCGACGAATCCGCAAACCCGCCGTAACAAGGGCTTCGCCTATGTGGACTTTTCCGGCCAGGAATCGCTCGACTATGCACTCACCTTGACGGAGAGCTTGTGGAACGGTCGTCCGGTTCTCATCAAAGACGCCAAGGACTTTTCATCCAGAACCCCCACCCCGGCTGTTAAGTTGGGTGCGGACTTGAACAAGCACCCGCCAAGCAGGATTCTTTGGGTGGGCAACCTGGACTTCACTACGAAGGAGGAGGACCTGGCAAAGCACTTCGCCTTCGCGGGCAAAATTGTCAAAGTCCGCCTGACCACGTTTGAGGACACGGGCAAGTGCAAAGGTTTCGGGTTCGTTGATTTTGAAGATGAGGAGAGCGTAAAGAGGGCGATGCTAGGGCTCTCCCCAGAGGACAAATCAAAGCTCGAGATTGCCGAGGGCAGGGAGGAGGAGGAGCTGGACAGGTTGCGCAAGAAACGAGGTTTCATCGGAAGCCGGAAAGTCAAGATGGAATACGGGGAGGACCCTTCCACGCGTTACAGGAAGCGCTTCGGGAAGGAGAAGGATGGCCAGGTGAATGAGGACGTCGTCGCCAAAGGAGCTCCTGTAGCGCTCATGGGATCTCGAGGCAGACTCGCCGCCACCGGTGGCGTTACAGAGCCAGAAAAGGACACGAAGGCCAGCGAGAAGAGGAGCAAATTTGGCAACCCAAAACGCCCATCCAATCCGGGAGCTGTCTATTCGAACGACTCACGACGGACTGGTGCAATTACGGGGAGCACAGGGAAACGACTGAAATTTGAGTGAGACATTATTTCATCATTCGAGTGAGACGTCGTGCCGGAACATTTGTACCTATCCAGCGCTTGGGCTCGCGAAGCGTGGAAGCCCAGTCGCTATATATAGCTTAGTAAGCCCGTGATGGCAAAAATGAGACACTCCGCATATATTTACTCCTTCCGGGGCAACAGGCCATTCCATCAATGGCCCAAACAAGCACTTTCCAGCCGAATAAGGGGGGAAAACGACTCCCATACGAGTACCATTTTCCAATCTTCATAGAGCTACTGTAAACGTCGAGTGTTGAGATTTAATGAGCCTAGCATGAATCACTCGAATTCCGATCCATCCAAGCACCTTGCCGTCACGAGTGCAATTTGCGAACACGATGCTGAAAGGAAAACGGGAAAAAAAGAAAAGAAAAAGACCGCAGAAGATCCCAGTCGTGCAGTGCGATCCCAGCGCTACGGTAGTAACGCGGCTCGAGTGCCACTGACCTTCGCTCCCAGTGAATTCATGCGGGTCACAGGCACGCAGGAAACTTTTGGAGCAATACTTGTACTGTATCATCCTCTCGACTTGGAATCCTGCTGTAGCCTCGCCAGTAAGTTGATTGGGGGAGAAGTCTACCACCACCACCACCACCACCCCAAACCGCCTTGCGGGTTACTGGACTGTTGCTTTTTTGCTTTGACCCTTCCGTTTCTACCTTTCCCCACTGCTTTCGACTGCATCTTCCCTTTTCCTCCCCACCCAAAGTTCCATGGGGTGAGTGTCGGAGGTCGTTATGTCGTAGTGCCCGTCCACAGCGCTGGGGTGCCCCAGGTGTGTGATAGCGTATATAAGGCGGGTGTGGATTGCGCACATTACCATATCTGACCCTCTTGGGATTAAGCGGGGACATTGTACTCATCTACTTCCCTACTCGAGTGGATTCCGCTACCACTATACCGGTATCAGCATCTCAATAGTCCGCTGACCCACCACTCCCATTCCTTTTCGCCGACCACACTCCCACTACCTCCCCTCAAATATCACTATCCTTCCTCCACCAACTTTACGCATCGCACTCGATACCTAGGCATATCTCTCCGGGCCTTCTCCTGCACGACCTACCGCTATCACAACTTTCACTACTACTCTATTCTATAGCTGACTGATACATTGAATTTGTTCACGCCTTCGATCCCGCTGCTCCTAGCCCAAGGAGGGGAAGAGTTTCTGGTGAACCGGATCCGAGCTCACTTTGAGCGAGAGGATATAAGGGCGGAGGAGAGAAAGGGCAGCCGTCTCCGCAAAAGCGCTCAGAATGTCGGACCAAACGTCTTGGGAATCCAAATTCCGCCCGAGAGAGATCGCGGCCTGGGAGTGGGAAAAGGTCAGGGATGTGTTCGAAGAGCTCTACATAGAGCAGGGCCAAACGCTCAAAATGATAAGACAACATCTGGCGGAAGAACACGGTTTCTACGCAAAGTATGTGTTCATCCTGCCCCCCGCTTCTTTTTGCGCTTCCACCATCAGCGACTAACGCCCCGCAGCGAGACACAATACAAGAAAAAGATCCGTAAATGGGATATTCAGAAGAACCTCAGCCGAGATAAAATGGTAGCAATCGTGCAATTATTGGATCATCGGACTGCAGAAGGCCTCTCCACCATGTTTTCCTTTAACGGAAAAGAGCTCAGTCACGAGAGGATTGACCGATCAAGGAAAAGGTTCAATCTGCCTGGACCCGATGTCCCGATTGAGGGAGAGATTCAATATGAGATTGGTGGGTAAACCTATTTTTGGACTCTTACTCGTTTTCTCTTTTTTTTATTTTTTACTTTTTACTTTGACTGCTTCGCTCTTTTGGGTCTTTTCGTTCATCGTGGCAACGATTGCTAACTTATGATCTCACCGCTCTGCAGAAGGCGTTGAGTATTGGGATCCCGAAGCGGATACACGAGCGTTGCCACATGACACTGGGTGCCTCGCACAACCAGAGCCCCAGGCATCAGAACGGCTTGCACCGGTGGGGAAGCAAGAAATGCGATCCCCATCGCTCCTGGAAGTGCGAGTACCACTCCATGAAGGTGTTGTATACGTGGCGCAAGGGGAAATTCCCACCACGAGGAATCCTGAGCAGAACGGAAACTATGGAGCCGCTTACCAACCGTCGGATGACGACGAGTTCTACGCTAAGCCTTCTTCTAAATTCGTCCCAGTAAACGCGGAGAAGCTGAATCAGGCGTCAAAGCGCCCTTGCAATGACTCCGATGCTGGTGGCGCCGTGGACAATAGAAAGTCACGCAGGACCTCACGGCACTGCGATAACGAGGACTCGTCAGACGTACTCCCTCAACCAGCGCACGTTATCGGGAACAGCAACAGAGAGGGGAATGAGAGCTCAAGTATGCCTATTCCCACTCCCATGCCTGTGGAGCGTGGGGGGTCTCTGGTGAGTACCAGTACATCGGGAGAAGTTGGCTCGCCGGGACTTGGGCTCCGGGTTCTCAGTATACGCAGCGCGGGTTCGTCCTCGCCGGAACCTCCGCCATCTGGTCCGATCTTGGGCGGTGGATCGCCGCCACTGCCGCCTCCGGAGCAACGGGGTTCAAATATTTCCTTGCCACCGTTCTCGAAGCTCGAGGCATGTTCATCGTTACCGCCACCACGACGTGCGGGGCCGGTATCAAGAGCATCACCCCCACCACTGGTCCGGTGGGGCTCGGGTCCACCGTCACCGACTGTGGCATGGGGGCCTGGACTACCACCACCGCCAAAACAACGGAAGGGTTCGACTTTGGCGCTGGCTCTGGGGCAAAATCCCGCGCCAGGTTTGAATGATATCGATTCGTCCGAACCACTTGGTACGGGTGACTATTTGGGAGGCGATGCGGTACAGGTCCCTGGCCCTGTAGGGCCACTCGTTGAGCCCACCACTAGGAGGACACCGAGAGATGGGTATATTCATGGGGCGGCCGGTGCCAACGAGTCTGGCCCTGAACCACCACCGCCTCCATCACCAATGTCGCTGGTATCGGTGTTGTCGTCGTTGCCCCCCTCCCCGCGTCATTCCCCATTACACCCACAGCCCCCCCACCACGATAGCTCATCACCCGAACCAGCAGCAGCCTCGCTCCTAGTCCCCACATCGCAAGAGATCACGAGGTGGCTCAGTGCAGCCACCCGTTACTCCACAAGATCCTGGTGGAATGATCTGCAGGATCTAGGAATCCCGGGGGCCCAGAGCCTGGAAAACCGCCTGGGCCGCAACCACCCGGAGACTCTCTATGCCCTGGGCGCGCTTGCAACACTCTACACCACCGCTGGTAGAGATGCGGAGGCCAGGGAACTGCACAGGTACGTATATGACGAGCTCCGCAAGCTCTTTGGCTCAACGCACCCTCGTACCATCACAGCACAGCATAATCTCGCGGGCGCGTACCTGGCCCAGGGCGACTACCCCGCCGCACTAGCCATGGCAAAGGAGGCCGTGGAACATAGTAAAACTGTGCACGGGGCCGACCACGCCGAGACTTTATCCTCCTCGGTGCAATTGGGCTGCGTACTATCGAGGCTAGGGGAATTGGACGAGGCTATGCAAATCGCGAACAGCGTGGTAGAAGCGCAGCAACGGAAACCGGGGGACATGGCGAACCGGCACATCACCGTATCAGCAAAGGGGCTGCTCGGCATCCTCCTCGAGAAGAAAGGCCGCCACTATCACGCCAAGGCGATCCTAGAGGAAGTCCTTGCCCGGCAGGAGAGGCTATTCGGAGAGGACCACCCAGAGACACTTTCCGCTATGGACTCTCTGGGTACGGCATACCTATCCCTCGGGGAGCCCGCCAAGTCTGAAGAAATACTCCGCCGCACAGTGGACCTCTCTACTGAAAAGCTCGGGGAGAAACATCCGGACACGCTCACCTCCAAACACAACCTTGTCAACGCCCTCCTGAAAAATCGGCGCTTTTACGCGGCGAAGGACCTCGCGGGAAAAGTGTACGCCGAAACCCGCCAGGTCCTCGGCGAAGAGCACGTGGATACCGCGCTCTCCATGGTGAACCAGGCGTCCGCGCTCATGGGCCTTGAAGACGTCTCCAGCGCGGTAAATATCCTCCGGGCTACGGTGGATAAGTTGGCTGTGATTCTGCCCGCTGGGAATTACCAGGTGCTCATGGTAAAGGAGAAGCTTGCTCGGGGATTGCTGGACTCGCTTAGGTTCCCCGAAGCAGAGAGGGTCATGCGCGAGGTGCTCGTCGAGAGGAAGTGTGCCCTCGGGGATGCACATCCCGAGACTGTTCGTGTGAAGGAGTGGCTGAGCATGTGCCGGGCAAGGATAAGAGGGATAGAGGTGGAGGGGCAGGGTGGGGGGAATGCCGCTATTACTGCTACTACTGGGGAATGGATGGGGCAAGAGGGTGCTTCTGGGGATCTGAGGGGGCGGTGGCAGAGCGGTGGTATTAGAGCATGACCTGGTTGGTGGTGGTGACCGGGGCAATGTGCCTTCTGTCGTTTTTATGATACTCGACCCATCCTTTTTTACATTTTTTTTATATATTCTTCTTGTTGATTTTTTCTTTCTTTATAGCCCCCCCCCTCCCCCTCCCCCTACAGCGCCCTATTGTTTTCCCAACGATTATACGACTGTTCATTCTATCTCAGCCTACTATTGCCCTACTGAATTTTTTTCCTATCACGCTCGCCAACGAGCAGTTCTAGAATATGATGCATTACCTGTTATAATCCCCCCCCCTTTTTTTTTCTTCTTTTCCTCCTCCCTCTCCCTGCTACTGTCTTCTTTTTCCACTTCGATATACACACAGGTTTAAGGGGGCGTTGGTCGTTAAAAGTGTGATTTTTTTGTTTTTTTTCCTTTATTGGTTACGTCATGTTTGTAAGGGAATAAATTTTGATAGAGGAAGAAGAAAAAATGGGAAAAAAAATTATTATTACTCAAGTTTTTGCCACAATACTGCGATTGTCCGAAACCGCCCGTAAAAATTTATTACTCGAGCACGATAACTCGACTGGAGTATGGTAGAGCAAGTATGAACGAAGTCCTGAATGATCACCCGCAAAAAGTCGGAGAAAACCTGTCTCGCGTACCGGTATATACTGTGCCGGTACTGGTGCGGGCACTCGTACTCATACTGTAAGCCTAAGCCTGATCGTTTCTCTTCTCCTTTCCGCAGAAAAGTGTTGAAAATGTAAGGTACAGTTTTATGATGGTGCTGTGCAGTACAGTACCTAAGTTTCAATCTTGGCAGCAAAAGGAAAGGCATCCCGATCACAAAGACGCCAGCGGATTTTTAATGATGATATGTGGGTATGACACACACCACATACAATGCGTACCAGTGGCATTTCAAAATGTGATGCCTTATATAATCAGGGTAAGGGATATTTAGGAAAATCATTAAGATTTTGTATCAAGACAACTTACATACAGAGAGAACTGTGATACAATACAGGATTCCATGTACTTTAAATACACTGGTGTAATTTATACTTTCAGCTTACAAGTTTCTTATACTCAAGAGACATAGATAATCTTTCATCAATATGTCTCCATAATTCTCTGCATCTTTGTCCAGCATTTCTATAGTATCACCCTGCTGGGTACACTAGTGAAGGTGCTGCTTTGAGAATTGGTATTGATTTCTCTAGTTTTTACTACCAACCCAGTAACTAGTATCCCTGATTGCATACCTTTTTTTGTAATAAATGCACTCTTGTCCTACTCCTATAATACATACTCATAGAATAGGTCGAGTTATGGTAAGTCAAGGGCAGTATCGTTTAAACCTCTAACATAATACTAAATACTATAAACTCTAGGCAGAGATATCCCTCTTACCCGCTAGCAGCCAAACAAATTTCTTTCATATAACAAGAAAAAAAAACCCAGAGAGATCTCCCCAGTAAGAGCTCTATAATAGACAACCTAAATATCCAATAGTGTATAAAAGATTTCAAGGAAAAAAAATAAAAATAAACTTGGACGCATTAGCCATTGATCCCACCGCCCTCCAAAAGCCTGACATACTAGAGTTAGGTTTCCTTGCCTAGTAGGCAGTGTACCGGACACAATCGGCCTTCTCAGCGTGGGTGTATTCCAGCATCATACCTACGATAAAACAGCGGTGCACAAATAGTCCACCCCGCAGATCTCAAGACCATAGATCAAAAAATCATCCCATGTCATACTAAGATCTCCCGTTATTTGTTGACGTATGTGTCGGGTGGGGAATATCGAACAGCACTTCCACACCACATCATACGCTCTATAAACCCGAATCAGAAAACCTAGCTCTTATGATCACTCTCCCAGAGTACTATAATGGCACTAACATTTGTTGCACCCGCCAACCTAGAAAACACGCTGGCAGCACAGATCCCGATGATGACATGACCTCACAATTTACCAGCGCCGGGGTTCTCCCCAGAATTCTTGTCATGACCACTCACTCGTTTCTGGTCTCTTGATGCGTGGTTACCACGATACATACATACCCACATACCGCGCCATGGCCCTACCCCAGCCGCGGGCGCGGATGAGTCGAGAAGGATGGTGGCATATTAATTGAAACCCGTGCTGCGCTGTGCTGTGCTGTGTGCCTTGTTGCATTGCATTGCCCAGTGGCGATAGCACTTTATGAGTCCGCCCTAGATTGTTGAACAACCCTCGGAGGTTCTGGTGGTTCCCTTGCTACCCGGTTATTATACCGCAGTATAGTACAGTACGGTATGTGACATCTTGGCGTTTGGGTCCTGTTCATCACGGGGTCCGGTCCCGCACTCCGTACAAGCATCGTACAGTATAATACCCGGATTGTTCGCCGTGAGTGTGGGAAGAAGCCTTACTGTGCTTCACAATACTCGGGTACGTACTAGTAGTACAGTGGACTAACTTACCCGGGTACATTATGTGACGGAATACGGCACTGCACCGAGGATCGGGTTGGGGTATTACCGGTATTCTAGGACTGACCGACTCGCTATTCCCGTGGGGGTTCAGTTTAGTTTCGATCAGCTATTTATTATGCTCTTCTCTTCTCTTTCTCTCCTTGGTATACGGTACATAATAGCTAGAACATTCCTTTTTTTGTCACCTACCATACGAGTACCGGTACGGTAGGTACTGTACGATAACCACCCCAGCACCCGTGACTTTACCCGCCAAGAAAAAACAACACTTCTTTTCGCCTTTCGCGCATGTGTGTGTGTGGGGTCTGCGCCTTGTGTCGGTATCATATCGGTATGATGCGCGGGAGGGCTTCCAGGTATGCATACTGTATGCCAAGTCAACTTTGTTCCCAAATCTCGATGCCAAGCGTTTCGAAAAGCGGCGGATGCAGATCTTAGGGTTTGGGCCGGGCGACGGTAATCTCTTTTTTGGATCGGATCACTTTGGTTACGGTACCATGCGATACGGTACGGCGCTCTACCGATGAGTTGGTTTATCCACAATATCATACGAGCACACGGATGGTACGAGTACTGTACAGTGCGGCATCATGTGCCATACGCTTTCGCCATTTCGCCCATTTCCTGTGAATGCTGTCATTTCGCAGATTGTTTTATTTTTAATCGTGCTTTTGTCTCGGTGTGAGTTGGTGCTTGTGGGTACTGTGGTGTACGGTAGAGGAAGAGGAGGATCGCATCATCTCTCATTCTCGAAGATTTTTGGAGGGGAGGCTGGCGAATGGGATTGGGGGGAATTGAATATCGTGGAATGGGGTTGAGTTCCCCCCGGGCCTCCTAAGAGGTAGACTATGGAAAACCCAGCCTATGATGTGATGCATACCCCGTTGCGCAATTTCCCATCTCGGTGGAACTATTCTTGTCCATGCATTGCACTGCACTGCACTGTATCTCTCTCCCTAGCCGCGCGAAAGATCTGACAATGTCCGGGAAGTAGACTACTCTGCAGTATCATTCCTTCAGCGTATAAAGTGTTAATTATTGCTAAAAATAATTTGATTTACTGGTGCAGTACGGTGTTCTACAGGTAAACTCACCCCACTAAAATTCCATCCAGTATCATGGGACTCCGGTATCGCACGATGGATTATCCCTACTTGTTTAGTAAAGTACTGTGCCGGGGATTTGTATTTTTGGGAGGTCTAATTGAAGATCTTATCATCTCTCTCTCTCTCTCTTTCCTTCCCTCCTTCAAGCTACTGCTTATCCCACTGTTATATTCAAGTATTCGATGAGAATGCACGATAAGAAAACGCACATCCCTCCTCCGCATCTTCCTTTCGGGAGGGTCCTCAAGCCCACCGCGGAATACCGGCTTAGTGCCAGTACTGGTCGGTAGGGACTGCTAGGGGTGATTGGGTTGGCTGGGCGGCCAGGGATTACATACAAGTGCTCTGAAGGACATCATTAAAACTTTCTTGCTTGTCCCCGCTGCGAGTGTTTGTATTTCCCTGCCGAATTCATCCCTTTATTATGATATATCGTACGGTGCTTCCTGCCAAGTCCGACCTGCGGGATCCCTGGCTGTCCGATCATCCACGTCCCTACGCGAGCGTGGTTTGGTGCTCTGGTGTAGGGGGGGGGGGGACAGGGGTGAGGTGCCTTCGGGTTCCGTGCGAGTGCGAATACCGGTACTACTGTACCCTCTTACCCTTGCCTTTCCAGTTCTATGAGAATTTCCCGGGATGCCGCGGAATTCCTAGGGGTGTGCGCGACTGCGCTGGAGTTTCAAACTGAGACCTATCCGACCCATTTCTCGGGTACCGGTACATGTACTCTATCAGACCAAGGATAGCGATAGCTAGCTGATGCCCCGTGTATTCTTGCGCGTACAGACTCGAGTTGAACTGATAGGTGCTCGAGTAGATGGAGAGGAGAAAGCAATACTCTAACTGGTATGCGTGTACAATCGTACTTGGACGCCCACCACAGCAAACACCCGCTGCCGTCCACCAGACCCAAAAAAATGGAAAAAGGAAAGCAAAAAGTACTAGTACGGGAAAGTGTGAATCGGTGTACAGAGAAGAACGTCCCCTACCCTACCCCCCCAACACAATAAAAAAATAAAATAAAAACAAGAGTAAATCATGATGGGAGAATTCAACCAATGAACAGAACCCAAGTTTTGTGGAAAGAAGAATAAAAAATAAAAATAAAAGTGAGGGGGAGGAGGCAGGTAGAGGAATAACAGATGGAAGGGCCCCATTAAAAAAAAATCAAAATCTAGCCATCAGTGTGTATACAGGTAACTACTGACTCCTACTGTACAGCTAATCATCACCCCCCAATTCATCGGTTGAAAGGGGGCTACCTCCGGGGGAACCTCAACAAACTTAATCAGTACTGCACTATACAGTGCTGTTCGCATACTCACTTGCCATACTTGCAACACACACGCAAAAGCCAATTCGTGGTTCTCCTTCCAGTCGTTAAAAGAGGCTTTTCATTTCGGCACGAAAGGCTGTGACCGGTTACAATTCGCTAGCTCAGATCCGATGTGTGTCCATAGCGAATTTTCTGGATAAAGTCGTAGATGAAGTCAAAGTATCCGTCCTGAGCGACAGTCTCGTTGTGGTTTCCCTCGGGCAACTCTCTCCATACTTTTTTCGCCCTGCAGATGTCGAATAGGGTTTTCATGTGCGATGGTCTGTGTGAAGGCGAACGCTGCTTGTTAGCTGATGGAAAAAAAGACGCCACATGGGGGCAGGAGGGAAAAAAGAAAATAAACATGTGGAACCAACGGAACGAGTTCATCTTTCAGCCCGCTCAGGAAAAGCACTGGCACATCCACAATTTGCGGCAAAGTCGCTTCGCTGGGCCAGACCTGGTGACAGAGTTTTGCGAGGAATCGCGCTGGTGGGAAAACTGTTGGGATGAGCGTCCGGATGGAGCGAAAGGTGTTCTCGAGTATTAAGCCGTGCACCTTGTCCTGATTGCGCGAGACGAGCTGAATGGAGAGTGCCCCGCCCAAAGATTGGCCGTAGACTACAATTTTGTTATTCTTCGTGTCGTTGCGCTTGAGCAGATACTCGAGGGCCACCTGTGCGTCGACGTTGAGACCCTTCTCGCACGGGCGCCCAGAAGATAACCCATACCTAGCTCCCAATCGCATACCTTAGTGACGGCAACGAGTAGGATTTAGCGGATGATAAGGAACACTTACCCGCGATACGAAAGGATAAAGATATTGGCACCCATATCCTCGGAGAAAACTCTGGCAATTGGCAAGCGGTGGCCCTGATTGCGCGCTCGTGCATCAATAAATTTTTCTGGCGAATCAATTGTTTCGGGGTGGAGGGGAATTCCTCACGATATTTCCAGCGTTCCCATGCATGAAGAGTACCTAAAGTTGGGTGGATCAGCGCAGTTCAAACCGGAGCTCCGCGAGAGGCCTGGGCGCGCGCGCACTGTTACACCCATATCCATTCTCTTCCGGCCTCTGAGAAGATAACACTTGAGCGATTCTCCGTCGGGCGTCCTGAGCTCAACATGCTCCCAGTTCTCCACGCCATACTCGTCCGGCGTCGGCACCCTAGTCCTAGATCCCTCCGGAACTGAACGGGGATATATGATCTCCCTTTATCCGAACGACCGTCAGCAGACCATTGTATCCGGAGAAGGGATGCGACAAAGGGGAAGCAAACATTTGCTTAAAATAAAGCAGTCCGGAGAGCAGGAGCGCCAACCCAGTCGAAGCCACGATTGTACCTTTGGCGAGTGAATATGCGGATGAGGAGTAGGGAGAAATGGCGTCGGAGAGAGACATGAGGTTGAGAGAGAGGCGGAGGGGGGGGGATAGGAGGGCAGTGAGGAGCGGAACACAGATGGAGCGACAGGGTTGCGAAAAACGAAAAAGGAAAGTAAGGAAGGAAAATGCACAGGTAAGTCAATCGTTTTGAGCAGAGATGTCGCGGTGCAGAAGTAGGTCAGGAGTGCAGCGTAACAATTCTCTGGGGGTGTGTCGTGCTTTTGGCCGCTGTTGCAATTACCGGTATAATAGTCGTTGTTCATCAGCTAAGCCTGTGCGGCAGCTGTTGTGTTTCCCCCGAATTTTCTCGGATCACGAAGGGCACTAGAGGCGGAGTCAGTCGCGCTAAACTTTAGCGAGACTCTTGCCTCTGCAACGAATCCGCTGCGAATTCGGGGATAGGTTAGGTTAGACCGTGGGTAGGGCTAGAAAAAAAAAGAAAAAAAAAGGGTGCGATGTGCACTGGAATACTATTATTGCTGGTACTGATAGTGGTGGCGTGATAATAGTTCCGTTCCCATAGTTGAATATCGGACTGATAATAGTTTGGTGAAAGTACGCATCGGGCTCCGAGGCTGATGAGTGTCATCGTCTCGGATAACTTTCAAAAGGGTATGATCTGATTAGTGCGACATCAGCCTCGTGCTTCCGACGAGTCAAATGATGGTGCGGTACAGTGGACACCAGTAACAAGAGCTGAGCCCCCTCCAGCGTACTCCCGTCGAGAAATGATCCACTTGCAGGATGCCAACTCATCCATGCACAAGCGCAGCAAGGTTACCACAGGAAAGGATCGAGAAGAGTTCGCAAGTGGTTCTCCTGAGTAGCAGCCACTCACCGACCCAATACTGGTATGTTGGCTGCAGACTGCCACAGATTCTGACGAGAAAAGGGATATGCCTAACCACTCAGGAGGCGGTGTTTCGTTTCGAATTCTTTGATATTCGAGTGATTTTCAATGACCTCACAGGGATCCGGGGGGAGACAGATTGAGTAGCGGGGTTCCTCGTGCGAGCTTTACACCCTAAATCCCACCGAAAACAATGGCCGGGAAGTGTTTTTCAGTTGTTTGCATCTCCAATGTTTCTTTGTACGGAGGCGAGGAGGATTTGGTCATGCATGGCGATGTAGCTATCAGCGGTATGATATGGTATGATACAAGTAGCAATCATAGCTCCACCATAGGTAAGCGATAATGGAGGGAGGGTTGGGGGTAACGGGTTTGTTCCATCCTTCAAATAATTCGCTGCTTATAGCCATTTTGTGACTTGCAGTTCCACCGACTACGCACAGTCGCTGTGGCGGTTGGAACCGTAGAAGATGCGATTCCTGTGTAGCTAGCGGAAACCCCACTGTGAGCTCGTGATTTGCCCGGAGAGGAACACACGACAAACACAGCCCCCACCGATCCGCTCCTGAATCGCTACAGTCTATTGAATCACCATTCCACACCTGTATTTCCGCTATTCCCTCCGAATGCCTTCCTCCGTGATCTTACACATTGAAGTTCGGCTGTTATCTTCTACAAACATCCGCCTGGATTCTGTATCTCGATGGGTTCGCGATTGGCTGCAGGATAATTTCATCTCTTTGTCCATATCCCAAGAGATAAAATCATTTGGTAACATCTCTTGAGCACCCCCCCCCCTTTCTTTCCCCATTAGAGGACACTAACTATAGCATAGAAGACTCACCATTGCTCACGGAGCATGTAGAGTCTATCTCCGTTGTCGAGGCGACCGGATCCACAGACAAAATTCTCTACTTGGAGAAAGTAGAATTGGATATAAATGCATACAAGTTACACCCACGGGCCTCCCAGACAACCTCACTCCTGAGCCAAGAATCCACTGCGGATAGTGAGGAGCCTCCTTCTGCAAGCGTCATGGAGTTACCGGCTAAGGCCTTGGATGGGCTCTGGGAGTTGTGAGTTTTCCTTGAGAGATGAGTCGGGTATGCAGGCGCTAATTGGGTAGTTTAATATTTGATCCAGATATTAAAACGAAGCTACTGCACTTCATTTCGAGCATTCGTAAGTTGGGCTCTTACAAGTCGCTGGCGGAAGACGGTTTTCTTGGCCTGACTATATGTGCTGCTAGTACTATTTGCCGACAAGGGAGTTAATTTTATGTGCATTACCTGGAATAGGTTAGTCCGCTCTACTGATATCACACTAGGCCCGTGCTAGCTCAAATTCGAAGGTTGATATTACTCCACGGCCCTCCCGGGTCTGGTAAAACGAGTCTTTGGTATAACCCTTGCATAAAAAAAAATAAGTGGCAAGATCTGATAGGGTATAGTCGCGCGCTAGCACAGAAACTATCAATTCGCCTCTCCAAGAGATTCTCCGATTTCCAGTTGGTGGAGATCAATAGCCACAACCTGTTCTCAAAGTGGTTTTCGGAGTCTGGAAAACTGGTAGGAAAGATGTTTGACGATATTTCGCAGACGTTAGAGAATGATGATACCTTCGTGGTTGTTTTAATTGGTTAGTCAAATGCCGATATCCACAAACCTCGCTGATGGCCAAAGACGAGGTAGAGTCCTTAACTTCAGCAAGAAAATCGGCCGCAGGTGGAAATGAACCAAGTGACTCTCTGAGGGTCTAATGCCCCAACTTCTCGTGCGTCGCGGGCAAGCTCGTTGATAAGGGTTCTAGGTTGTGAATGCACTGTTAACAGGACTGGACAAGCTCCGCCATAAGAAAAATGCAAAAATCCTTCTCAAAGGGGGTCCATGCGGTTCTAACCTTTCAAACTATCTAGGTTATTGTTTTGACAACGTCCAACCTCCTGGAAGCAATGGACACGGCCTTTCTCGATCGAGCTGATATCAAACAATATGTTAACGCCCCAACCGCTAGCGCCATCTACATAATCCTCAGGACCTGTTTGAACGAACTCATACGCTGTGGATTGATTGAAGAACAAGTATTTCACAGTCTGTTCCGCTTCTTCTCTTGGCTAAAATGCAGAAAGAGGCCGATACCCAGTCCCGAAGAGGCAAGAATGAATATCTTCTCGCAGCCAAATGCTCCATCGAGTAGGCTGTGGCGGTGCGCAAACGAATGCACTTCTTTCTCGGGACGGACACTGAGAAGACTTCCGGTTCTCATGCATGCTGGTTATATACAACGAGAGAAGTGCACTTTGGACGAGGCGCTGGAGGCACTGGGGATGGCTGTACAAGATGTAAAGCAGGAGCAAAGCGCCATGTGTGAAGTGTCAAAGGTGGTACCGTAGGGAAATAATGAAAATATGTCCTTGGTTTCTTAGATCGGTTCCGGGGAGGGAAATTTTTGGCGAGCGCACAGCTTAACGAGGACTGATATAACGCCCTGAAGTGGTGATGGTGGTGCATAACTAGTCGAATCTCATCAACAAAGTAGTCGTATGAGAGATTGGCCAAGCTAGCCTATTGAAGACACCCGTGGCCCCCAAGGTTCCGATTGGTCCAGTCTTTGGCAATAACCCTTTCTTGCCCCCCCCCCCCCTGCAGAGTGCAGTCCCGGCCCCCAATCCGGTGAATCAAAAGTTCTCTGCATGTACTCGAGTACTTGTACTGAAACCCCCCTTTGACCCACAACCCTGTCCTAAGTCTGACCCACCGGTACGGTATCTCGGACTGTGAGTCGGCTTAGACCTGCAGGTATTGCGGCTACCGTAGAGCCTTCAAGCCGCAAGATCATGCGGTCCCGGTACCTAAAAACCCTACTGCATTGTTGCATGGTATGACGCGGTACGCCATACAATCCCAACCCCTAGCCGCACCACACCACACCACAATACAATTCACCCCGGCACAGCCTCGCTGGTTTGTCTGGCAACCCCGCCGTCATGGGTAATCACTCGTAATAGAACCTTTTCAGCCTTGCCCAAAGAGTGACAGGGACCACAACGTAATCGTGAGACGATAAGGCGGATAACGATAAATTACCTGACCGTGGTGGTGGTGGCGCCGAAGGGGTCTATGAATGCACGGCTACGGTATGGTTAACTTAGCCCCGTATACACTTTATCATAATTCATGCACTACCGGTATTCGATTGGAATCCCCTACCCATCGCGACAAGAAATATGGACGGACTTTATAAATCGTACAGACGGGTACGGTACTGTACATTATACACGTACCGGTATATATATTCTTGGAACCCCCCGATTGCGCTGCGAGGTATGGTATGGTATGGTATGTACCCGAGATGGCGGTTACCCCACCACCCTACCCTCACACACACGGATGAACCAGACTTGTCCATGGTGGGGGTTTCCTTCACCGTTGAGAAAAAGGTTCATATCTGCGGTGTACAGTACCGGTACCGTACCGTATTGCCCTCCCAAAACCGGATTTGTCATCTGCCTTTTGTTTTATATGCTAAGTTTACGTTATTCAAGGTGCGGTGCAGAAGGTGAAGGAAGGAAGGAAGGAAGGAAGTATGATACTACTATGAGAACGTAATCATAAATCCTGGGAGTTATCGTGCGCGAGCAAAAAAATTTGTCACTGCGTACTGTAGCGGGCAAACAAGCAAGCAGGAAAGTAGGAGGCGAGGAGAGGGTGCAAGAGAGATAAAATTGATAGATGTGGCATCCCAACTTGGTAAAAAGTGTAGGACTATGATACCCGCTAGATCTCTAGATCCGGAGGGTTGGGGTGCGGGGCAGACTGATAGTTTCCAATTCCACAGGGTTCCCACACAGGCCTACTCTAATGTTATGGGTCTATACGACATGTACAGTATAGTATGATACCCGGTGCATACAATCCTCGAGGGTACAAAGTACGATATATGCCCAGATTATCGGTACTCGCCAACATGTCCATAATCCAGATTTCGCCTACCTTTTTTTTTCTTTTTTTCCTTTTCGCTGAGCGGAGCACTATACCTAAAGGACGGTGGAGAGTTAGGATGTGAGCGAGGACTGACTGAAGGCCGCGACTGTGGTACGGAGTGGGTGGCGGTTTGGTGGTCGGGTCAGGAAACGTCCTCCGGAGCAAACCTGGCCACCGGACTCGAATCAGAAGGGTGGAGAGAGGGCTTATGTATAATACTAAGGGTGGGAATCTAAAGGGTGAGATTGTATGATATCATATTCCACTTCCTCCCCACGCTACACCCCCGCAAGTTAACGGTATACCGGGGGGCTGGGAAAATATGACAGAAGAGAGAGGAAAGAATGAAAAAAGCCAAAGACACTGACCGGGGAGCCCTGTAAGCCAGCGATTATACTGTGCTAACGGTTCGGTAGGACGTGGAAGTGTGTGGGTGATGTTAGGTTTGGTTTAGTGTATGTGTGGTGGTGTATGATACGGTAAGCTGTGGTGGTTATGCCTTGCGGGAAGGGGAGGTGTTATAATAGCTAGCATCCAGCTTCTCCATCCCTTGTTGTTTGGCGGAATGTCTGTGGCAAGTAGTTACTACGGTAGGTGGGTATCCGAGTGGAAGGATTGTAAAGCCCTATGATTCCTTGCATTAGGCTGTTAAATTATGTCTGGGGAGGGAGGCTGCTGTTCCAAAAGGAACCAATTTTTTTTTGTTACATACAGAACAATACACATGCTACGGTAGCGGCACATACTATATTCGATATCGCCCAAAGTGAATTGTAACCCAAGAAAGCTACATCACACTCTCTACGCCCCCACACCCCAAGCACCTGCCCCTTACCCCCGCTCACACTTCCCAAAGATTAATCCTCCCGAGTGATCCCCCATGCCCAACTCCAATCGACGAGTGATTCGCCATGAGCATACGATACACACTGAACATGTCAACTATCTCATTCCATATATATTATTAATCAACACCGGCTCAGGAACCAAGATCGATAGTTAAAACCCTAGACTAACCCTGCACAATCGTGGGGAAAAGAAAAGAAAGGAGAAAAGAGAAGCAAAACCCCTTGCAGGAGCCAACAGCCCAAGTGAGCGAGAACAAAAATATTCCACCCATCGAGCAGGGGTTCAGAGCAGAGTGAAGAGGAGGAGCTGTGGGCTAGACAGGAAAAAATTCCACTAAACCGGTGATATGGGTATACCCTTTGTCGGTAATTGTTATTAATCGAAGAAGGTAAAAAGGAGCAATTGTGTAATACAACGCGAGCAAGAAAATTTGGGGCTAATCGTCACCAATCCTCGGGGGACTGTCTTTCCCATCGTGTTTTGACACGCGAGGGCTTGTGCTATATATATCCCGCGAGCGGAAGTGTCAGTAACACGGGTATAATGCGCACATCCGGGAGAGGGTACGAAAAGGATCCCAACCTTCTGGAAGCCTTCTTCCTCAAGCCTTCACAAATCTTAAACATTTCCTTCCGGTAACCAGTTGCGTCAACCCGTTTACCCCGAAGACTCATTTGCACCTCTTTCTCACGCTCTACCGCCAAGAGCCTCTTAACAAGTAAGTGTTTCATCGCCCAGCAGACATGTACCCCACAGTCACTCCCGTTATCCTGTTGCGGTGTATCCTCTAGATCGGAAAATTCGAGTGAAAACCTGAGTAAAACCCCCAACTTCTTAGATACCTCTCGAGCCTCGCCACAATTTGCAGGCGAGAGCGAATCATAGTGGAAAGCTACACGGTCGCTGACGCCGACAACGAGAAGGGACCAATGCGTTCCGCCCTCAGCAATCGAAGGATTGCGACAGTCGTTGATGGGGAGGAAGATGTGAGACGCTTTTTTCACATCCGGTAGAGCAGACTCAAGCGTAAGCGGATCTAGGGATTGAAGCCATTAGCTGTGGGTGAGATGGCTAGGAGCTCCTTTGGTTCATACCTTTGGTATTCTTTAGCAGGAACACCATCGAGGGTCTCAACAGCATAACTTTATTGTTAGGATTTTTCAATAACTCTTCATGTTCAAGATACCTAAAGCTCCCATAAAACGAAACCGCGGAAATACCTGTCATTAGCGAGACCGACAACAAGAAACGATCCAGAACAATGAGACAAAGAAGAAACGCACTCCTCCCAGAACGAGATATTCTACACCCCCGCCCTGATTGTTAGTAATAAAAAAAAGATATCTCCGACAGAGCATTCCATTCTCAAAACCCCAAGAAATGATAGAACCGAACGAACCAAGAAAAAGGATGGGGGCTCCTACATTGTCTGTCAACCAGTCTCCCTTCAAACAGTCGATGTCTTCCTTGGTAACTATTGGCACCGGCCCGAATCAGTCTCCGCCAACGCAGGATTACCTAGACAGACACACCGCAAACATCATAATCTAACCATCCACCCAGTCAGTAACGGATTCCGCCCCAGTCGGTGAGAACGGCAATAGAAAACCCACAGCTAAGATAAGTGTCCTCAGGTCGTAGCTTCATTCCATTCCGACGAAGTCGTAAATTTCCTCCAGCATCAGCCATCCGATCAATCATTCCTCTTCCATCCCACTACCCCTTGGAGGAGAGGACGAAGAAGAGGGGTTGCAACCGACAAAGTGGTAGGGGGATGGGAAATAGTTACCTCGTCCCGGTGGAACCCGCTCATCTCCCGGATTGCATCACGGAAAGGCATTCTTCTGTTGGGGGGCTGGGAGGTTGCTAGATGTTGGGGGAGCGTAGGTAAAGTGTAAAGGGAAGGTTGGTCTGCCGGGAGTGTCGGCGCCGGGATACACGGTAGCAGGGCTACTCGTAGTTGGGAGTGAGGGTTATCGTTGTTTGCTTGTTTGTTAGGGTGGTAGAGTGATTGGGGGACCACAGTAACGCTGGGTTGATTGGTCAGAGAACGGTTGGGGGAGAGGCGGGGAGGAATGGCGATGGTGATTTTCCCCCTTACGTGATAGGGTCTATTATTGATCCAAGGAAGAAGGGGAGAGGGGGGGGGCAAGATGCTGTACTTGAACACAGTGCTGTGCCTGTACGAGTACAGTACTGTGAGTTACTCATGCTGTACGAGAGAGTTAAGGTATGCAACTGCAGGATTTCCTGTGCTCATTTGGAATTTGCTTGCCGCTCTTTCTTTTTGTCCTGGGCAGAGTTGGTTGCTCGCGACGTCATGTTACACACTCCTAACTATATTAAGAACTACTTGTACTCAAGTACAGTAGAACTATCCTCATTTTTGGTATGATGGCGTGTAAAATTCAGCACGAAGTAGATTAAATTGTGGTCGCCCCGCCAGGGCTTGACCCGGACCTAACTTAAGCCTTTTCCCTTGCTGCCTCACTAGAGAAGCAGATCTATACTATTATAGTGGGGTATTGCCTCCCTGCAGATGGGTTTCCCTGTGCTTGGATAGACCTATCATAGGCTTCGGTATGATGTCCCTGCGATACAGGTGGTGTCGGTAACTTAGGTCTTGTATTCCTCTCTTTTACTTCCCGGGATTGAGGACGACCCAACACCTCGTGAAAGTCATTATAATTAATTACTCGACCGAGAGGGTACTTGATCGATACAACTGTATCGGGCGTACTATAGCTCACGCGAGGGTGCTGTACTAACATGAACAGAGGATAACCAAGAAAACTTCCGGACCACGTTATACGAATAATCTACGGAGACATCCTCGAGGTCTTGAAACAGAATCCCTTTAGAGCTTAGCCTTCGGAACCGCCTCTCCCTCGTCCTCTTCCTTGGCAATATCCCTTAGAACTCTTCTCAAGATTTTTCCAGAGATAGACTTCGGAATTGCATCCAAAAATCTGATTCCACCTCTCAACCTCTTGTGTTGAGCAACCCTATCTTCGACATATTTGATCAATTCCAGCTCTGTGTCTTTACTCCGCTCCGCCCCGGCGCTAAGGGTAATGTATGCCCTGGGTACTTCGCTTGCTATCCTAGGACTGTAAATGCCGGTGACGGCACAATCATCCACCTTTTCGTGTCCTAACAATAAACCCTCGAGTTCAGCAGGCGCGACTTGGAAACCTTTATACTTGATCAATTCCTTGACACGATCGGTGATGTAAAAGTTTCCATCTCCATCTTGGTATCCGACATCACCAGTCTTAAAGAACCCATCCGGAGTGATGGCATTGACGGTTGCGGTTGGGTTGTTAAGGTAACCCATCATAATATTAGGCCCAGCCATCCAAAGTTCTCCGGGTTTGCCGGCAGGAACTTCTACCCCTTCTTCATCGACATACTTTGCCGTCATATCTACAAGAACAATTAGTGGCAGTGCTAAGGGGAGTGGACAAAATATACCTACTAGCAAGTAATGGGCCAACACTCCCAACGTGTGATCTCCATTGACTCCATCGCATAGAGTGCGTCACTGGAGAAGTCTCAGAGAGCCCGTAGCCTGGCTCAAGCCATTCTCAGTTAGCAGCTCCATCGTAGTACTACCGCCCGCCCCTCCGGTGGCGCGGAACAAACCTTGCTTAATAGAAATCCTCAGCCTGGCCCACACAGACTCCACCAACTCTCTGGTGAGCGGCGCAGCACCAGAGTTCACCATCTTGAGACTGCTGAAATCGTATTTGGCTACATCGGGGTGCTTTGCCAAAAGAAGGATCACGGGTGGCACAAGCTGCAGAGACGTCAATCACTCGAACTGACCTGAGCCCCTGCGCCAATCAACTCACGTATGCAAAAGTGACCCTATAATCCTGGATATGTTGACAGAATTTATTCAGGTCAAAGCGATCCATTACCACCGTTGGTAGCCCCCGTAGAATTGCGTGATGCATTAGGCCTGGAAAGATTAGTTCCTGTTCCCAAGGTACACAAGGCCTTGAAAGAAGCTCACAAGTCAATCCGTATATATGGAAGAAAGGCAGAAACGCAACCAACCTATCCTCCGTCCAATCCAGTGGGTCATTGGGCGTAAATTGAAGCTATGGTCGAGAATGCAAGTGAAGATTTAATATATAACCCCGCCTTTATCTCTTGGGGGCAGCGAGAGGAGGGCGGCTCACGAGATTTGCGACGATGTTTTTATGGCTCAGCATCACCCCCTTGGGTAGGCCAGTTGTTCCGCTACTATATACCAAATATGCCAATTCTTCCTCCGGATTCAGGATTCTCGTCTTCCTCCACTTGGCACTCGTGCTCAGGTCAGTAATATCTTTCCAGTGTCTGTGTTCTTTGGTCCTTTTATCGCCCAAAACGATGATCCGGTCCTTTGGGATTCCCGCATTTGCAGCTGCTTGTATAGCAATCGGGAGCAAATCAACCAACGTCACCAGGGCCCTTGCACTTGAGTCCTTAAGCTGGAAGGAAAGCTCCTCCACCCCATAGCCCGGGTTCGCCGTTGTAATGACGCCGCCAGCCCACAGAGTTCCCCATACTACCGGTGGTGTGTCGATCTGGTTGGTGCTAAAATGGAAAGAAGAGTGGTGGGAAGGCATTAGTACCACCGAAGCACAGTTATAGGGTGAAATTCTTAGTGAAGTTCCGGTAGCGAACCTATAAACTGCCAAAACGTCACCCTTTCGCCAACTCCAGTGGGACTTGAGACCGGTTCCGAAAGTCTTTGCTTGATCTCGAACGTCCGCATAGGTTAATTGGCGTTTCGTGTTCCCATCAATATAAACAACTGTCATATGTCAGAAGGATCAGAGGATTCGATTCCCGTCGTAGGTCACACTGGGTCAACTCACCTTGGTCTTCTGGGAAAGGTCTATCCTCCCTTTCGAACAAGAAAGAATGTATATCCTTCTGGGGGATATCAATTGTGGGAAAGGGCGACGCGATAGGCATTTTGAAAGGGAGCACGATGGTATAATCTCGCTTCTCAAAGGACCACTGCCGGTATCGCAGGGTGAGCGGCAGCGCAGGTTGAACTTGGGGTAGGAGAGGAGCAATGTGGGAGAGCGGTGGGTAAGGGGTAGGGCCGTCGGGGGGCTGGGGGGTTGCGGAGAGACCAAAAGTGCCAAGCTCACGGGTGTGATTGGGTGAGCCTTATTGTCAAAAGGATTGGGTGCTAGCCGGGGTAGACGTTACAAGTGCTCGGGGTGCAGTTCTCACTGCCGGTACATGCCGGGACTGTCTGCTGTATCCGTGTTCCAGGGACGATTACCCGGTACTCGGGTACCGTATAGTGATGGCTCTACCCGAGTACTCGTACTTGTACCAGTATGATACCTGTGGAGTAGGGTACTGTACTCAGTGCTCAGGTATAACGGTATTTCAAGCGGAGTAGCACAACCTCCGACCTTTTTGGAATTGACAGCCCCCAGGTACAATTTTTCGGACGTTTGGTGCTTTTTTCTGGCGAGAGCTCTCTTCTCGGTGGTTTCTAAAGCACCGGTAATAGAAATGTGGATGACCCGACTGAAGGAGCTGATTGCGGCTGTTTCCACGAATCGGGAATCAGACTATCGGTACCGTACCTTGGGTTGAAGAATGGTGCGCGTGATACAAATCAATGCTTCGTTACGGTAACTTAATTCAAAGTCCTTTATCAGGCTATCGATCGTTCCTAATACGGCATTAATATGTGTAAATCACCGTAAGCATACTAGTACTCGTACCGGTATTGTTGAAGTGCCTGGAGCCCCACCTGTGCTCGTGCCGTGTTCAGCTCCGGTGGGCAACAACCCCTGCACCGTATGCGCGGGAGAAGCCTGTACTCGAATACCGATAGTGCTAGCATGATCGTTGATCGTTGGTGATGCTGAAACCTTCATTGGATGATCATGTGACTAGCCGACATCGACACCGCGAGTCTTGGCCCCAAAAGATTATCGCAATAATCCAAATTTATGCCTCAACTTCAATACCAGTACCGGTAGCCTCCTGGCTGCATTTGGCACGTCGATACCAATTGCAAAACTGAGAGTTTGCCCGTATACTCATGCCCAATGGCCTCCGTTATTCGACCTTTTATAACTCGCCGTGTAATCGTACCCCTGCCGAGGATCGCTCCGAGAATCCAACGCCGGAATGCCCGGGTCCAGAACGTCCGGTTTCTGCAAACACCCACGGCACATCTCATATTAGAGAAATATCGTGACAAACTCGAGGCCAAGATCAAAAGGTAACCTCCTGCATTGATTCACTATTAGCGATTACCGGTACTGATTCGACTGACAAAAGCCAAGCGAGGGGTTAGGCTCGCTTGAAGAACTTCGAGAGGTGTATCGAGACAGGATTGACAAAGTGCAGAAGGAGTCTGCGCCGCCACCGTCACCTATCGACGCGTTATCACAAGATCCTCCCCCAGCCCTGCCATCTGTAAAGGCTTCCTCTACGCCCTCGCCATTTTTTATTCAATCGATAGGGGCGAAACACACCGACACCCCACCCCCGGGCGTGAAAACACTCTCGTCGTTTGTCGATGTGGACAAGCTCGCTACGCACTCCGATCCGAAGGAGATAGAATTCATATGGAGAGCTCGCTTTCTCGATGATAAGAATAGCCTCTGCGCAGTGATTCCTAAGGATACATATGCTAAACTTGAAAAGTCTGCCAGTCAACACCCGATGGTATTCCCTTCCCTTCTCTATTACACGCTCATACGGCTAACACGCTTCTCCAATGAGTTCATCCTCCCACTCCCCCGGGATAGCGGTGTCGAAATGCACTTTCTTCAATGGACCTTCCCAACACCGTGTACCTCCACGATTATCTTCACCTCACTCGCCGAATACAAGTTGAAGGGGGAATTTGCCGTGCCACATACCACGCTCGCTCACCACCTCGAACTAGCAGATGATAAGGGTATTGTATTAGCACAGGGTTCTGTGACACCTGGCAGAGGGGTTTCTGCTGGTGATGCTAGATGGCTGGTAATGGCCCTCCAGAAGTTTTACGGGGCTCTGGAGAGTGAGGAGAGCGGAGCGAGGAGGAAAAGGTTGTTAGAGATGTTCTCGAAGGGTGACGGTGGATTTAAAGTACGGAGCCTGATCGAAGAGGTGGAGACGTGGGGTTGAATTCGTTCGTGTGTCTAGATCCACCACTTGTAGATAGACCCTGCTAGGCGTAGGCCACTGCACATGTAGATGGCAAGGTACACAAAAGGTTCATCCCGCTCAACTTTTTATGAGCGATTGGGCTTTGAACACTCTGGGTCTGCGTTGTGCTCTATCCCAACTTCAAACGAGAGAATCATACGATGTCACTCGAATTCTCTTGTTTCCCAGCACACTAGTGCTCAAAGCCGATGGACTGTGGGGTGATGTGTCGCCCTCTCATGTGGCTCGCTGTGCTCCCCCTGCAGTGATCATAGGTTCACCCGTTAGACACTGGACCTGTGTTCTCTCGTCGCAGGCACGCGTGGCCTAGGCCCCCTCCTGAAGATCCCAAAGTTTGGGTGCCGACACACGCACTGCGGCGCTAAAAGCACACCCTCACTTTAAACACCCTGCGGTAGGAACCGCCCCATTTCCACCCGACCTCCGACGACCGGTCGGAGTATAAGAAAGGATCAATGATATCTTACCTCTCTCCTTATCCCTACTAACAAACATAAACGTTGACTAGTTATGACGACTAATCCAGGTGCTTCCGGGAGCCCTCCTTCCTTCGACGCCTCTCTAAATCCCCCTAATGAGCTTCTTAGTTTTCTATCCGCCCTATCATTGCTTTTCAAGGAGAATTTAGGAAAACCTGAAACCTCGCAGTGGGTACCCGCTCGGTTGGGCATCGCCTTGGGTCGGGCTGACGTATTCAATAGGGACCTGGGGAGAATTGTCCAGAAGCTCAATATCCAATTAAACAGTTACGAAACCATCTTGCCCCCTACAAGTATCCGGGAATTAGTCAATTCTTTAGGAGAGGATTACGAAAGGTGGTGTTTGCTCGAAGCAGATACTTTCACTGTGATAACAAGGACACTCCTTAGGGCTAGGAATTGTCTGGAGAGGGACCAGGGTCTGTTTCGGCTTATTGTGAGGGCTCAATTTCCTTTGATCGTGTCGGTCCGAACTTACAGAATTAGGAAGTATTGGAGACCTTGACTGATAGAGTCGAAGCGCGAGTGATGGAGAGTGACACTGTCAAGGATTACAAGGACACTGTTGGGGAAGGATCCATCTCTGGGTTACTCTCCTTTTTCACGGAAGAAGAAAATTTGGACTTCACAAGGCGTTGGGTAGGATTACTGCTCGTTGAGCTGTTGGATGGATCGGAGCTGAATAGGGAGCGACTGTTGAAAACTGAAAAAAAGCAGTTGTATGTTTCTGTTCCAGCATTGAATGAACGGCTTTATTAACAAGTAGGTTACGACAATAGGGAAGAGCTTGGCGATATCATTGAAAGGGGGACCGATAGAATGCTCAAGATTGTGGCCGGGAAAATTATTTGGCAGACAGTTCGTAGTTCTAGCGTCATGGAGGGTACCAGGGAGAGACTCAAGATTTTCTGGGCACAAGATAGCATAGATTTCAGCAAAGATTTTCCCATGGAGCCTGGGACCCAATGGGATGGAGGATTTGCGCAGTTTGTGACAAGGCTGGAGGAGGATCTGGATGATCCTGATATTGGGTAACTCCTACCCGTTCACAATTCACTTGGTTAACCCAGCTTACATTTGTAGACTTTTCCCCATAGCATTCAACGCCTACCAGGTTCGCCTCGGAGAGAGGAAGCCACAGGTTTTCGGAAGGGGTGCTGTGTCGATTAGTATTGGCGAGCTGTTCAGCATATACATACCACCTAATTCCGATGACTCCTGCGAGTGGATAGATCTGAAGATTACCAATATTACCAGGATCGAGCCCATTAACGAAGCTGTGCCTGGCGATCTCAAGGGTCAATTAAGATATCTCAAACTTCATTTGTCAGATCCCAGTAATAGCGGCTATCTCTATCTTATCTCAATGCGACCATCATCTAAGTTTGATAGCATCATGGTTTCATGTTACGCAGAGGAAGCCGATGACATTGTTGAAAATGTTGAGAGATGTCGTGGGCTGATGCTATCAAACAAGCATGGCGTTGTACCTCATATTAGTGCTGTCAGTGGCCTGCTCGTCAATCCGGAAATCTCGCAGTCGCAAAGGGAAAAAGAGGAAGAGCTGCAAAAGCGGCGTGGATATGTGCTCGATGCTGTCAATAGCCCAGCGGTAGCTGAGGCCACGCCCAGTGGACAGTCTGAATCCGGGGAAATGTTATCCATCAATGCAGCAGATCTCGTGGATATCCATGATGGCGTCTCCTCTCCCGTGGTCAGACGGAGCCCTAGGGTTGACCTCCCGCCAGGAGCAAGGGCCTCTGCCCAGGCCCTAAGACCACCTGGCTCAGAAACTCGTCCAAAGCAGATCCGGGGAGCACCATACGATTGCTCGCCACTAACCTCGCCACCCGCTTCGGGGGAAACCCTCGGATCCCCGCAAGGCCGCCTAAGTGATCCCGGAGATCATCCGGTTGCACAAACGTCTAAAGGCGAACTCTTCACGACAACGGAGTGTGAGCTTGTGGAGAGCACAGGATTGCGGAGCCTAGGAGATACTAAGCTAAGCCAAGTGAATGGCGAGCCTACTGATGGGCTATCAAGGATACTGCAGCGGGTGCCTGCCTTGATATCCCTCGAGGAAGTCAAAAAGCGAGGCAAGCTCAAGGATCGACTGGCGAACGAACAGGGAGAAATACCGGCACCACCCTCTCTGCAGAAACAAAATACAGGGCGTAAGAGGGTAACTGCTAAACAACCTATGGAACCTACACTGCCTGCGAAGACTACAAAGTCTGTGTCGAGGAAGGCGAAAGGTGAGGGAACTGCGAAAAATATAAAGCCTCTGGTGCAGCGGAAGAAGCCAGAGCCACTACCAATTAGTGATGATATATGGGAATTGCCGTTGAGTAGCCCAGTTTCCCAAGGGCCGAAAGCGGGGGGCAGGGTCCAGAAGCATGGTAGAGGTATAAATAAAAAGGCCAAACATGACCCTAAGCCGGGAGGAATAGTTAAGGGGAGGTTGGCGGCGAAAGGGAAGGTTGTTCCTGGGAAGAGGGGAAGAGGGAGAGGTCGTTCATATAAATCGGAAGCCCAAGTGGTTGATTCTAGCGAAGAAAGCACACCTCACTCGGGAAACGAGGCCGCTGGGCCAGGAGTGCCACGCGCTCCTGGTGAGGTGGAGGCTGAGAGGTCTGCGCTGACCACGCAGCCAAAGACTCTCACAAAAACTGTCCGAGCAGCCCAAATCTCGGAAACGCAGCCTAACCTAAGAAGATCCCTAAGAGAGAGGAAGCCGCCCAGGGTTGTACTCATCCCATCCTCGGGTGGGGAGAGCGAGAGGGGGGAACTGGTGGAGTGCACGCCGCGGAAAGCACTGGCGAGGTCACTTTCACCCGGGAGAAAGCCAGAGTCTGTTAGGACAAACAAGCGTGCGCTTCCTGAGGCATATAGGATCAACGCCTCGACGAAAAAGAGAAAAGATCCGCCTATTCGGGAGTGTATTGATGTTCCCCAGGCCTCTGATACAGGGAAAAAGGGTGTTCGCAGAGGGGTTAGGGTCATGCAACTGGGTGGAAAACAAGAGAACTTTGGGGAGACAAGAGCAGTGGTGGGGCAAATAAGCCCGGTTGCTCCAGAGCTCGTCCAAAATCGTGAAGCTAGAGCTGTGAGCTCAAAACGCAAAGCTTATAAGCGCACCACCGCCCCAAAAGAGCTCGCCGAAGGTTCTCATAAACGCCAACGAACCTCGCCCCTCAAAACAGTCTGCCATGAGAAGAGGGGAGATCGCGCAGCCACGTTTGATACAAGCGATAGTCCCGGAGTCTCGATCTCCCTTTCTCAAATGGGTGATTCACTTGAAGCTCGAGACTCAACCCGTGAGGTACCTGGTTTGGATGGGCGGGTGGCAGATGACGACGATGCTCTGCCACTACTCAACAAGAGGGAATATATAAATCACAACGAAAGTATAGAAGAAGGAAGGGCTTTAAGTATTTCGAGTCGGACAGAACCTCCGGAGCCTAGCGCACACTACCCCCAGACAGGGCTAGAAGTGCTCGGAAGCCTTGACGACGCGAGCAGGGTGGCACTTACAAATGGCCCGGAATCTCGAGAGTGTCGTCACAGTTCACTGGAGGATTTTTCTGAAGCACCACTACCCCTGGGGGCGATGGATAATCCAGCAAGGGGGGTCTTTAGTGCGGATGTTCTAGGCACACCCGGCCTTTCGGGGTCTCCGACAGCTCTCCACCACAAACCGGACCTTCAAAGAAGTGCCCCAGCTGCACCAGTAAATACTTCAAAAGCATTAGCACCTCACCCTACATCAAATCATGTAGACGCAAGCACTAGCACCGCCGGCCTAACTGAGGATCGCACCACGAGCACTCCCCGCCCTCGGATCTCGGGCCCGTCACCACAGATAGCTGAAGGAACTGGTTCAACAATACCGAAGCAGATGTCTAGCGTTACTAGCCCAATGACGCAGCTCAAAGGCAAAGGCACTTGTGGTCGAGCAGGGAGCGTAAATACGGTGTCTGAAACCGCGATAAATGGGCCTTGTTTTCTAAGCCCAATCGAGTTCTCCAGAGCGAGTTCCCCCACGGGGCCCATTGTCCATGACACGGCCCCTGACGAAGAGCGGCTAGGAGCTGATGATCTAGCCCAACTCTCCGCAACACAGAGGCTTCAAAGTCTTGTTATACTGTCTGAGGGGGATGAAGATATAGTTGTTTGGGATGCGAAAGAAAAAAAGGGAGGGTTTACAGCACTTCAGAGAATGGGAACTGGGCATACTGAGGTTATAACACACTCGAGCTTAATGAAGCACGCATTTTAACATATATGACTAGGTTGATGAAAATGGAAGTCCTTCTAGACTAGACACCCCAAAGCCACATACAGGGCCAAGAAAAATCTCATGGGAGATATTAAACAAACGGAGGGATCATATTCCTGAATCTTCTCAGGGGCTGGAGGCCGAGGAAAGCACTTTCGCCGAAAATACACACAACATCCCGGAAGGGGGAACTCAGTTGGGCGGACAACCACCTTCAAGGCAAACGCATATAGTCGGGGCTCGTACAAAGGGAGGTAAACCTGAGAACCTAAAAATTGGTGCTAACGGTGAGGGGGGCTGTGGGTATTTTAATCAGGGGCGTGGGGCGATTGAGCGCACTGATGGGCCTGAGAGCCAATCCGTAGAACTACCTAAACCGCTTGAGAAATTTCGGGAGATGGCGAAAGATGTGATTTCGATATCATCGACATCACCCTCTCCGGCTTTACCCCCTTCCCTTCCCCCAAAGAAATCACACAGGGTGTGCCAAGAGCCGGAACCTTGGGAAGTCTCAGATAGCACGGGAACTGCGGAACCCGCAATAGCTAAGGTCCTGCAGATACTTGCTAAGAGGGGCACCTACATACCCAAATCGTCGCCGCCTGTTCTCCGTCAATCAAAGTCGAAAGTCCAGCTAATCAGGAACCGTAAGCGGAAGCATAAGGGTAAAGATAACTTGACCCGGAGTGGAGGGGTGGGGGCGACCGGCATTGAAGATAGGCCGTTCGAGGGTATGTTGTTGAGATTTCAAGGCTATGTCTACCGCTTACTGACCTCTTCAGATATTGTATTGGCCGAAAAGGGATATCTAGAGACACATTTTTCTAAAATGCTACGGAAAAAAAGATTTGTGAGGATTCAGAAGCCGCCTTACCAGGGGAGCCCCTCCGACCAGCTGCTGGCAAGAGAGCAATGCCGTAGAGCTTCGGGGTTGGATCCTACCAAAGAGGAACGCGTTCGAAGACAGGCGTGGATTCAGGATTCAGATCATGAGGAGCTAGATAGAGATACTGAGGCCGAGGATTCTATAAGCGCCTATACGGATGAGGATGACCCTGATATAGACACGGATACGTATTCGGAATCCGAATCCAGTGAGTCAGGTGATAGCGAAGATGGGGATGAGAATAGTCAGGATGGGGAAGAGGATTCTCACATTGTTTGGAGGAAATCGCTCCCTGGACATCTAAAAGAGACGCTCTCGGTATTAGAGCAGATTACTCGGGTTTGTTGCTCAGACAGATTTTTGTAGATTCGCGCTGACAATTAATAGGGGCTTGTCAAGTATTTAGTGCGCAGCGAGGAGCTTGCGATAGGGATGATTGAGAAATTTGAAGCTCAGGGTGCCAGGTTGATCCAGGCACTCGGTGATTCGCACGAACAAGAATACGGCGAATTCCTTGATAGTTTAGAGCAGGCAAAAAAGGCGGTCGCGGAAAAAGCAGAAGAATTGGACCAAGTGATTAGGAATGGCTTGGATAGCGTTGAGAGGAAGGAGGGGGACTGGAGGAATAGTCGGGTGGCAAAGAAGAAGCAAACCCAGAGGTTGGACAGTGCAATTGAGGAAATACTGATTAATACCAATAATTAGATCTGGAGGTTGCAAGGAATGGTTTTAACAGGGGAAATATAATGGGGGAATTGTGGCATGTATAATAATGCATTATTTGATTGGGCTTAAGATTGGAACCGCTAGTATATCTTCATGCGTACCGTAAAAACCGAAATAATTGGGCATGGCGCTAGGACGTCCAGAATTTCCCCTTTGGATTAGGGGGAGAACACACAGCGAGAAGATCCCCCTCCTACCCTCCCTTGAGACAGGAAAAAAGAAAAAACCCAACACTCCTTACTAGGGAGGCAACTCCAACGTCCTAGCGCGATGCCCAATTATTTCGGTTTTTACGGTACCCAAAATTTTTGACCGTTGAAATTAGGTAAACTCACTTGGCAACGTCTGTTGCGACACGGCTCTTGGTTGACGGCGCCGTCAAATCCCACCATACAAATTTCGGAAAATAGACGGTTAGGTAAACGAGCCCTAAAACGTTTGATTCTTTGTAATTCCCGTTTTCATATGTCCGATACGAATCATACACTAGTTCCCTACCGTTCTGCCATTCTTTCGGATATCTCAAACACTATTCCCCACGGGTCTGTGGACACAATTCCAAAGGAGATGCCGATTCTTAGTTCAGAGATGCGAACGTGAGTACAGTCGCACCTCCCTGTCCCGGGTGGCCAAAACCAGGGGAACCCACCCGGGACAACGGATTATCTACGGTAACAGGTGAGATTGTGGTGTAGGCAAATTTAGAACTCCGGGAATTTCATTTAACAGAATGGGGTACGATTGTACTCAGCAGACTAATATCGCTTCTTAATAAGCATAGCATGGTGGCACTCAATTCCATCATTTCAAACTACCAGCAGGATACTGAATCATTCCGGGCAAAAGTGACAGCTCCTGCACGTAAATTTTCTACCGAAAACCCCATCACCTTAAATACTAGTAGGATCCACCGGGAATATTATTAACACTGTACCACCAGAAGTAAAAAAAAAAGGCGCATCCACCGCTCTCCACCTTTCCGACATACATCAAGTAAGTTTGAGAGCTGGTGCTGGAATTCTGTGGTGAGTATGTTTCATGATGACACCTAAGCGGCGACGGCTGCGTTGAGGCTACCCTTGTACCCGTTAGTCTTGAGTCTGTCGGGAATAAAGGAGATGGGGGTGGTGTAGCTAACATTGGAGGGATCATTAATATCATCGTCACTGGTACAGAGACCGCCAAGATCTCCCTAGCAGTCGGCAATGCCTGGGCCGGAGTCACCACTTCTAGAGAAGGGGCTGGACCCTCTATCATAGGGGTAGATTTCCCATTCCATAGAGGGCGTGCATTACTATTTTCGTTAGAAGCATGCAGAAATAACAAGATATTGTTGGCGTAACCGATAACCAGACCCGTAGCATTACCACACTTTATAACGATGAGGCACTGCTCCCCAAGCTGGTCCAAGATATCAGGGTAGCACATCTCTTCACCACTCTCCAATCCGGGATAAGTGTCTATTGCCTTCTCGCAAGAAGGGGTTACTCTAGTCCATGCGTTTACCTATCATAAATAGACACTGTCCGGGAGTTACCCGGACCCTTGTGGTCGGTGTGTGAGTGTATGATACGTCTGCTAAAACCTAGCCACAATTGGGATAATTTCCCAAACTTGTTATTCCTGCGGCTGTATTTCTGCAGCGATTAGACTGTATTTTTTGTGTTCTATTTTGAGGGAAAAAGAAAATCGGCAAACTCTTGTTGCGTGTCTCTAGTCGACGAGATGTCCCTAACTATGAAGCAGGACGGTCAGGGAAGGAATTTTTCATGCGGATTGGCCCTCACGAAGACGCGCTGAGTTCAATCAAATGTATTATGCGAGAACTATCATCGGGTCCGCAAGGCATACTTACCCAAAACAAAACAAAAAAAAAATTAAGCAAGTGATGTGACGGGTCACCCATCTTTTTTTATTTTATGATATTAATTACTGAAGCCCTATGCCCGGTTTCGTAATCGGTGGTCATACCTGTATATCATACTAACGTAGATGAAAGGAACTTGTTCCCCCCTGCTCGGAGGAATGGGGTACCAAATCTCGGATCATAAGTCCAAGTATCACATTATACGAGCGTGGCAACTAAAGAAACACAGCCTCTTTTTGCATGCAAAACACCAATTTTCAACCAGCGGCTCGAACCAAGAACACTTAATCCTGCCCCCCGTGCTCTGATAATGTTATGTTAGACATTCATAAGGAGTTTAACATGAATCGCGCAATTTTTATTGATAGCCTTGGATGCCGATACAGAGACCTGAAACTAGACTAGTCTGTTGCCACGCAAAATCCCATACAAGTTGGCTGTCTTGACGTGGATTTTGACCTCCCATTCAGAACTTAGGCTTCCAGTTTTGTAGAACAATTCCGGCAACCTGAGATTCAATTATGTGAATCTCGGGGTTTCCAAAAAAACTTTACCAAATTTTTCTCCTTCTTTGCTGCTAAATAGACGCATATTGAAAATTGGTACCCCGCATGGAAAACGGGGAGATGTGTTTCGTTTGTTGCTGCACTCGTGCACTACGTTGCCGTTGGGAGAAAATTCGCTTCACTTCACCCTAAAATCAACTTCGGCGGGAGTTAAGGGGTGCTTCTTGTCGGTCCAAGAGCACTCTCCTCCCCCGCCGAAACCGAAAGTCCCTCCCCAACCCCCAATCCACTCGAGCATGCAACAAACAACTGGACCATCACAACTTGTCCGTATTCCATCAAATTTATTATCCTAGTTGCACCGGCCGGGTATATAACTAGCTGATTACTCGTGCAAATTTCCAATCACCTCTTACAACCCCCCAAAAACCCCAGCGATCCCGTTCTCTAGGAACTTTGGTTTTATGAGCAATAGGTATTACACTATTCTCCTTCTATCGAGGTTGCCAAAAAGGAGTAACTGCTAATTATGCTGAAATCAGCAGATATGCCTTGGACGAATATTTTTTGATTTCGTCGCGTGGACTGCAAACCGCATCGGGAGGCCCCAGCGGTTTTCAGGATACAACCGAGGGGTTCCCCTGGCCGTGTGGCAAAAGAAAAAATGTTTTCCACCCTCATTCCAACACCACAGCTACAAAACAGACCCACGAAACGAGAGGAAACAAAGACCAATGATAAGGTGAGTGAGGAGAGATCCCTTATCCTGTTCGGACCACCTATCCTCACCCGAGATTCCCTCAATATAGCTCGTTCACTTCTTTTCCGTAACACCACTCGGTACGGCATTTTCCGCTACAGCCTCCATACCAGCTTGCACTGTTTCGTCTTTTCGAATTGACGGAGGCTCAAAAGGAATGGAAGGGTTAATACAGCTGACCCCCGGTCTGGGAACAATTGCCCTTGGGCTAGGAGGTAAGTCCTCCGCCAGGCTTTCACCGGTACCTAGCTAACATACATATCTATAGCCATTCCCGAAGCCACGCACTCCGGTGTCGAAGCAAACAAGCAAATGTATTTGCACATTGAGGAAGCGATGAAAGAGGAAGGGTAAAAAACGAAGAGTGAGATGGGCAACCCCAGGATTACTATGGAGCTCATTATTTAAGACAGATAGGCGGTAGGTTCAGCAGAATCCGGGCAGTGTCTGCGGAGGAGGTTGATAGCGCTGCCTGGGCTAGATAGAGAGGAAGAACAGGAGGTGAAGTGCTATTGGTGCGGATACCAGTTTCCATTTTCAATACAAGGTTTCCTTCCCTGGATCAGGATAGACAGATAGGGGCTTGTGATCAAGGCTTGCTGATAACTGGAGCGGTACCGGTGCAGTGTCGCTTATGTTTTGTGTTTGATAATGGATTTATTAGACAACGGATTTGGGGGAATACAGGTTCTCCCACGAGCTACGGGGGGGATGAGAAGGCGGGTGTTCAACTTGGAGTCTTAGTATCTGGATAGTGGGGCATAGGAGAGAGGAGTCACATCTCCTCCAAAGCAAGGTGGTTATCGAATGTGGACCGTGGGGATCTGCGGAGCACAGCCGATGCGGGCGTCTCTCGGCGTGTATAAATTTTAAATAATTATAAGCAATAACAAGAGGAGACTACCAACTGAGCCGTATGGGTAATGATGTGCATAGACCCGCTGATTTATCGTGATTATCAACCTCCCCTGCCCCCATCTCTCTATTTTTCCGGCCGGATAGCGCAAGCAGCCTTGCCTACGATAACTAGCCCTTGGCAACAGAGCAGGAATGTCCCTATTGAAGTACCGCCAGTGTTGTTATTAATGAGATTTGGCAACTATATCTGGACGATTGGACCTGGCGCAATTCACCGGAATTCAAGGCATGCTCGCGAGACTCATATCAAGCAGCCGTTTCAAGCTTCTGTTTCCCCCCACGGCGCCCCGCCACCCAACTCAGCATTGGGTGATAAGTGTCCTCCAACCCCAAGCCATCGGTCATTGTGTCGAGCCTTTATCGCCTGCGGGAAATTGTGGGCTCCCGCAGAACCGCATCAATATCCAGAGTGACAGGCAGGAACCCAGACACGCATCTGCAAGCGGATAACTTGAAGTAGGTTCCGGTGTGTATTTTCTCACACATGTCCGTTTCAGAAATATCTTCAGCAAACTCCTTCAGGATTCCCGCCTCTAATAATCTCACCTCTGCTCGAAGTAACACGCCTTGTCGTTGCACTTTAAGAGCGATAGCTCCCGGTTCCACCCTGAATGTACGGTCTCCTAGTCACGAATATCTGTCCCTATCCTTGGAGAATCCCGGATGACTCTGTTCGACCAATTGTGGAGTTAAACTTGACTCAATATTCCACCAGATATTTATTTCAAGGATCAATGAACATGAGGGTACGCTCCTCTAAAGATGTACTGTAGTTTGCGGCATCCACACAATATCGGAAAGTTGCTGTTCTCCATTAGCCAATAAGCTCTTTCTTGCCTCTATAGATCCCCACCATTTCCCCTAGCGCCATTTCCAGCCCGCCCACAGCCCCTTTAAGCAGAACGCCCAGCATGTAAATCCAAAAATACCACTCTTCGAGAGGCAAACTCAACGTAAAAACACCCAACGGCAAGATTTCGGCGCCCGGCCTACTCGCACGACCTGTCTATAACCACAGGCTCACATCACGACTCATTAGCGCCTGCCCTTCTTCTATTCCCCCAGACTCCTCCCCCCTATCACCTAAAAAAAGTCCTATGACCTTGACATCTCCATGGAAAAGCAATACCAAATCATTCGATTCACTTCCCCCACTCCAGGCACACAAACTTCTAAATCCCCTCAATTTGTCACGGCCTTTCCCCTCGACTTTTGACTCAGCACTCTCTGGCATCCCGGTACCGTAGCCCGCTCCCTAACTTAGTAGCGATAACCAGGCCAGGACTTGAGACAACTCATCGGAGATACCAGAGTTGCTCCACACCCTACCTCAGGACTCGGTAATCTCGAAGGAGTCGGTATGAGATGCCTCCGCCGTCCCGAAGGTGGTGGAGGATTGGCGGTCGAGTTCATCGCTTGATGGAACTGCCGGAGGAGCAAGTAGAAAGGCCAGATGGGCTGATTGTTGAACCTCCGGGTACCTCGGTATTCTCCTGTGATGATTAGCATGGGTGCGGTTATATCTCCCCACACCAGCAGGCTCGTTAGGTGAGGCTCATGAGTCTGACCTTGCACAAAGATTCGGTGTGTTGAACTTGGTTGGGAGAAGGCCACTTCCTCCAACGTCAACATGGTGCTCGTGTATGACACGGCCAACTGCAACGCAGAGCCCCATATAATGAAGAGAAGAAAAGAAAAAAAAAACACCCGCCCCTCTACTCCCGGATGGAAAGGGGGGAAAAGAAATCTCAATTCGTGCATCCATACCATCTACCCTACAGTTCCCGATAGCCTGCCAAACTCCACGCTTTATCCCGACATCCTTCCTAGCGAGTGATAACTAGAACTCCAAGCATCACTACTCCCTCTCCGGCCCTCCCCTGATGTCCCGATTCCCCCAGAGACTCCCCGGTATCACAATGGAAAGACATGTCTATAAATGCCCTTCACCGAATCCGTAACGCTCTATAACCCATCGCGCTCCTAAACGATTCCCTCGACTCCCCGAACTTTCAGAATCAATAGTAACACCCTATCTTCCACCTACCTCTTCCGCTCATTTAACCCCCGGGGTTATGACCAATGCTGGCAAAGGCAATTATCATGCAAGTATAGCGATGCGGGGAGAGACTCCTGGCGCTTGCGTTCGCGTTCCCTCCAATCTGTCCCACCGCGTACAGATACGCCGAGAATTTCCCACAATAGGTGGAATCATTCTCGATCACTCGGAAGCATCATTCAAGCATTGTTTGATTGATTTAGTGTTCAGTGTTCGAAACGGGGCAGTCCGTCCGTCCTGGACCAGGACCAGGACGGACGGCGTTTTGTCGTCCCGTCCCCTACAACAAATGTCTCACCCTAGAGGGTCCCGGTCCCATTGCTTTTCCCAGTATTATGTTGACAAGTATAGCGGTACCACTACGAGCTCTTAGAATATTTAGAAGATAAAGGATACAACAACACATAGCGACAATTCAGATATATGATCTTTTCTTTTTAAGTTGAGATCCAAGTCTCTGTATTCATGATATGTAACCCACCCGCTTACAAAAATACGAAGCTATGAGGAAAATTTTGCACACTAGTAAGTTGCTCGGTTAGCTGGCAAACTCAGAATTATTCTAAGAGGGTGTGGGGATATGGCGTGGATAGGATTTATTCAGTAGTCCCCGGCGGTCCCCTACAGTTTCTCACACTCACCGACATTTCCCTTCCATCCCCCACAGTCCCCGTCATCCCCTACTGTCCCCCGCCGCCCCTACGATGCCCGGTGGTCCTATGTAGTCACCTGCCGTCCCCTACCAGAAGTTGTCTCAGATTGTGGGGCTCGTCGTCCTTCCTCATGATGGCCGTCCTAGGAGTTCAAGGACGAGGACGGACCATATTTTCCCGTCCCGAGCTCTTAGCAGTCCTTCCGTCAGGCCCTACGAGGGCCCCGGACGGTTGAGAACATTGTTAGTGTTTATCCACCGCACAGACAAGTCCCGCTTCTCCACTTGTTTCCCTATACTACGTGTCTTGCTGTATTCGGGTTGTCTCCGTTACCAGCCTCTCCTTCACTACACGTTCCTCGGACCACGTTTGACTCTTCTCCATCGCTTCTTGGCTCATATCCCCCTACTCTCAGACTGTTCACAACTCCTGTATTCCCCCGTTCCTCCCCTCCTTTCTTTCCACCCTATTCTTTGCCAACTTTGGCTTTCTCGCGAGCTTTCGCTTCTCTTCCTTTTCTAGCTCCCAGTACTCGAGTACAAGGAGCTATACAGAGTTCCCCGCCCGCAATCGAGAATTAAGCTTCGTTCTCTCTTTGTTGGTGACCACAAACCACAAGCCTTCCTATATCCGCGGTCCTGCCAGATTACGCCCGGCACTAGGAAATTCCTCCTCAGGAGCACATTTTAAGACTCCATCCACAAATATTTGGAAGGCCCGTTGCCCGGAAGAGCAAAGATAGACATTAATGGTTTGGCTAGGTATGATACTAATCTTTAACCTCGATCCGTGCATAATCTACGGCACATGATACTGGAATATTAACGGGGCATAGTGGCTAAAAACGGCTAGGATAGGGCTAGGGAGGTGTTTCTCTTTACCGGTAGCGATCATACCCCACGAGCCTCTCACCCAACACACCCCACAGAACCACCGAGCCGGTATATGTCTACCTAATCCCCCAAATCCCTCAAAAACTAACCAAAATCACTACCACAGGCAACCCCGCCTTGCAACCACTCCCCCACCAAATCCAAAATTCCACTACCAACGGGCTCACCGGCGCCCATGCCAATCAACGTCCCAGATTCATCTAGAGCACTGGGAAATCAGCACCATACCGAATCCAGATATCACAAGAGGCAGCCCTGCGCCCCTCTTAACCAGACCGACGAAAATAAACAAAATTAATATCGACGGAAATACCGTTACTGGACCTCCCTTGAGACTCGCACTTGACGAAATCTTTCCTGGGCCACTGATCCCAAGCGAGGGGGGGGGGATACTATCTCCAGAGCTCAAGATCTCCGGTATCATGCTGAAGATACCCGTGGTGATATGCAATAGGCAAAAATCGAAGACAAATAGAGTAAGTCACCCTTGGGTAACTATCGCTTGAAACCGGCCTCAAGGCTGATTGGGTCGGCCCCTAAGGGAGGAAGAGCGGAAGAGACACGAGTTGCGGAAGAGATCCAAATGGATGGGGGAGGGCGGATAGGGGTAGGCAATGTAGGTAGCGGAGCGGAATAGTGGGGGACTAAGGGAGCGCGAGAAAGCCGATGATTGGTTTCTTTTGAGATTTTCTATAGACCACTATAGCAACAATATTAGAAGTCTCCGCTTAAGTGAAATGTCCGATATTCACGCATGAAATGTGACGGCGTCTAGCTACTTAGACGGGAGCTGTAATTATGCCACTTCTGCCCCCACTACCCCACGCCCGGGACTAACACGACCTCTTCCGGCGGTGCCGGGATAATATATTGGACTGAAACCTCAGATGCCTCCTTCCGTGGTTAGGTTTCTGATCCGGACACCAAATCCCAGACAACCCCTTCCCGATATGACGTCTCAAATCTTCCATCCTTCTTGAAAACTGAGTATAAACAGCAGATAGTCAATGGCAACAAACACTAGCTCTTAGAGGTTTGTCGGTTTTGTCAAGGAAAGTTTCTATGACCACCCACACAATAAGCTAGCGTAGGCGATTCATAAAAATGTTACACACCCGTATCACCCAGCCTTTCCATAATTTGATAATCCGCCGCGCTCACCATTCTCAACATGTGCAAGAACTGGTGGATAGGGCACCCCCACCTCGACACAGGCACTCCCCCTCGTACGGGCTTGATTAGCGAATTCCGCATGGCCGTAAGCGACCCTTCCGATGGTACGGTGTACATCAACGCCTATAAGGCTACGAAAGGGATTGATGTTCTGACTGCTTGTAACATATGTGGATATCAGTAGATGCATAACATGAGAGGACTGTCTATCACCCCCTATGGCGTT